GTCGGTGACACTCGGAATATTATGTCAACAAGCTATTCGATCATTGACTTGCAACGTTTTTGCTGCTATGTAATTTTAATTAACAATCTACCATTTAAAATAAACCAATGATTATAATAATAAATAATCATAATCATCAGACTTAATTATGCACATATATTACTTATTTATGTATTTTTTATTTGCTGAATTAATTTTTTTTCCTGGGTCTTGCTTTTTAATATTTTACTTAGGATAACATTTTTTCGTAAAATTTAATAACAATAATAATAATAGTTTATTTACAAATAGCACACTCAAAAGGACATTAAATTAGTAAAGATACATAAATAGTAAATAAGCAGGCAATAAACTCACGAAATATTAGCAAATGAATATTTGTTAATAGGCTGAACAACATACATAAATCAAAAAATAAATATATAAAATTTTAAGTTTTAAGTGTGTGGTGTATAAAAGACTTGCAAAAATCCGAACAAACTATATAATAATATAAACTATGCTTGGTGGATATAAAATCTCGTTTGTTGAATCACTTCAAGTACCACGGCAATAATTTTTGTTACTCGGAGTAAGCTGTTTTTGCATTTGTAATAATAATTCCTAATTTTGATAAAAAATAATTGTCTTAAATCTAAGATTTGATAGAGTTCTTCGGTAGCATAAATCAGTGGTTTATTATCCACTATTGGGTAATTTCAATTTTGCTGTAGTAGTTATTAGTCACCACCTCACCTCAAAAGACCGTATGTGAGATGTGATTCAACCAATGCACACTATACATCATTTTTAGGTGTTTTATATCACAAAATTCCCTGGCATTCTTGAATATTGGAAGAAGGGATCTCAATTCAGGATCATGTGTTTGTCCATGTAGATACCGAGGTATTTAACATAATCCCAGGAAACTCAATCGATAAACTCATTCAGTTTAGTCTCGATTTGAAGTTTTGTGAAATTTGGCAAGGTACCTGAATCACAACAATTTTAAATCGTTTTCGACGCTGAGCACAGCCCATGACGCATCGGTATAAAAAATCGCGGTATCATCTGAAACAACTCAAAATATTCCCATTTGAGTTTACACGAAACATATCGTTAATATACAAAACAAAGAAAATTTGGCCCTATACAGTTCCCTGTGGAACTCTATATTCGACCTTTCTTTCAGAACTAGGCACACCATCCTGGATGATACATTGCGTTCGGTCACTGGGACAATTTGACATTAATTTTAAGGCTACTCCCCTAACTCCTATACCCTCCAAAATATCAATCAACTTCTTGTGATTTACGTTATCAATTGCTTTCTTAATATTTAAATAAATACAGAGTGATTCAAGATTTATATCTAATGATTTACAGATTTTTCCTGTCAGTGTAGTAATGGCATTTTGGGTGGATTTATTGTTCTGGAACCCAAATTGATTGTGGTGTACAATTTGAAATTTTTCGAGATAACTAAAAATCCTATTTTTTAATATTTTTTCAAAAATTTTGGCGAAGTTTGAGAGCAAGGAGATTGGCCCATAATTTGTAGGGTTTGTTTTGTCGCTAGATTTATACAATGGTCGAACTATAGCCTTTTTTAAAATTTTTGGGAATATCAGTTATTTAAAATATGAATTAGAGGTTTCACAATAAAATCTATTATCTTTTTAAGTGGTTCCGCCCAAATCCCGTCAAGTCCAGGAGATTTTTTGGATTGTAGATTTACCAAGATAATGACAAAGTAAAATAAAGACTGATTGGACAAATTAATAGGTACAATTAAATTAATAGTGATGAAATGGAAAATCTAAATTAAAGTGGACGTCCCGTTTTGTTTATTTTTGACCTAAGTTCAAGAGGTACGTGTTGTATCGTATAACTTTAAACTTTATTATAAAATGATACGAAAGTACCGAGTAATCTTAACACCTCTGTAATAAGCCTCCTTATTGAAATGGACAGTTTGGTGCAAAGTTTTTTTTTGACAGAATGTTCTATGTATTTAAGGAGCAACGTTATGGGCGATAAATTTTTTTTATAACAAATTCAGGGCAAATTGTATTTTCCATAGACTCAATTAACATGTTATAAAAAACCTTATAGAGATTGGAACAACGGATTTTAAATATTTGAAGATAAATACATAAATAAATATTTCAAATTTAATAATAATAATAATCATAATAATACTTTTATTTTCGATACAGAAAAATGTTTTAACAATTTGTATAGGAATTGTCAAATAAAAAAGAGCTTACAATAACAAGTACAGACCAAATATATAGAGACACTACAACAAAAAATCACATATTCAAAAGGTGGAGTAAATAGCTGTAGATCGATCGGGTCTACCTTGTTATCGATAATTTTTTATTATGTACTAATAACGGATGTGAACCTTCGCTGTTGCAGCCACTGAACTTTGCAAATTGTGAACCTTGTATGCCATATTATAACCATTGGGTTCTATAAAATAGTAAATATCGTAATCATATGTAAATTGTAAAAAGTACAACAATTCCTAATACTAAATGTCAACATCTTCAGAATAAAAATCACAAAGCTACAAATATCAGTACAGCAAGCCACGGCTACAGCTACAGCTAGGGATTGTGACTGTAAAAGGACAATTTTTTTTGCTTATAGAACTTATTAGTTAATTTTGGTTGGCCGTAGCCGTTAGTCGCCACAATACGTTTAACTTATATGGCCGGTCTGTCACCCCTTAAACTCATTTATGATTTTTCTAAATTGTTTTCTTGAACCTTAGTTGAGGACATGTTTTTGTAAAAATAAAAGATAACATAATATTTATTTTATACGTGCCATCGTAAGATGTTTATTTTATATCTATTGATGTATTTATTTCAACCATGTCATTTCACATGTGCACCATTTTTGCATTTTGAATAATAGTCAATTTTATAACTAACACCATTGGGTAAAGTGCGTTGTATTTTTTGAAATGTCTAAGAACTTTTTACAACATGAAATTGAAAATGAATTGCAAAGTAGTGACGATGGATTTTATATTGACGTCTCTGAAAATGATAGATTGGATAGTGATAATATTAGTGACGAAAGTGACTCTAGCAGTGGTAGTGACATTATAGTTACTACAAGACAGAGAGCTATACCTTTACCATCAAATTCAAGCAGCAGGGAAAAAAACGAGAGTATAACACAATCTGGTAATTGTGGTCCATGGCAGGACGTCATATGCCTCGATCAGGTATCAAACAGGATTCTATTTACTTCTGGGGATAAAATGGTAGCAAAACAAATTTTTGATACTTGTACGGAGGGACTAATAATTAGGATAGTGGAACAAACAACAACTGCTGTAGAAGAGTTTACCGCATTTATTGGGGTTGTCTTAAATACGGCTACGATAACCTTAACTATTATCCAAGAGGATTGGTCACAACAGTTTAATGCCAAAATACCCTTTTGTAGTAGCATATTTAGAAGAGAATATTTTTACAAATTTTGAATTGCATGAAAACGATCCAAATGACCAAACTCAATCAATCAATCTGTGGTTGGATTTCAGGGTAAAATCAAATTTTACTTACAATCCTAGCTTACGAAATTTTTCACCATGATCTCAATTTAATTCGGGAACAAATTGATGTGGTTTTCTGATAGTGCAGCATTTTATCACAATACGACACGTGTTAGAGTGAATGTTTGACATCACACATAATATACTAGCAATGTTTTTTTTTTAAATTGGCAGCAATTCACCACAATATTTTAATCACAATCAATATTAATGTAATGGCGGGTGCTAACACCTGACAAGTTTTTTCAATTTTGCCGTACTACGGAAGTTTGACACCGAAAGAATTAGTGAGACCTGATTTAGATGTAAGCACAAGGACATTGTTACATCTTTGTCAAAAATTATTAGATGATAATCCAGGATGTAGAGAATATCATTTTTACACCGATAGATACTATAGGAGCTTGCCACTTACAGAAGAATTGTTAAAACTAAATGTTCATTTGACAGGCCCTATTCAAATCAACCGCAAATTTATACCTGATTCTATCAAAAAACCAACATTTACGGAAGATAATACATTCGCATGCAGATCAGGTAATTTTATGTTATTGGAGTGGAAAGATAAAAGGGTCATCACCACTCTTACTTCGTCGGATATTTCAGGAATACAGCTTATCAACACAACAGTGCGAGGAGGTAACTTACAAGTTGTAAATAAGCCAAGTCAATTACAATAAATTTATGGGAGGTGTCGATCGCGCACACTCTTGTTCAGCGTTATACTACTTCCCGGGGAATTTTATAAAATGGTGGCTGCAGTTATTTTTCTGGGGACTCGAAATGTTCAGTGTCAATGTATATTTATTATATAAAATTTCATAACGCGGTCAAAACAAAAACCAATGACACATCTGAAGTTTGTTCGGGAATTGGTTGACGAGATGACAAGACAAGCAAGGGTCCAAAACTTGTGGCAGATTCAAAAGAGCTGCCAAATGGTAAATTACATATTTTAGGTCAAAATGAGGGGAAGAAAAAAGACTGTGCGTTATGTTCGATCTGTAATACTTGCACCCGTAGGCCTGGACTACACATTGGTGACTGCTGAAGATGTATTTTTTTATATTGTGTATAAATTTATTTAACGATAATGGTAGTTACAATGATAATGTTATGTTTTATTTGTGTTTTTCTATTTCTCAAGATTCATTTTATTTAGAGCTTTTCAAGTTTTTTTTTATTTACTTATTTTTCATGTTTCATGTAATATATTATTGTGTTCAATTTGAATAAACATCCGTGTGAGAAAACATTTAAAAAAAATCCCATACTTTTTATTAAGCGATTTCTTTTTATTAAAAAAAAATCTAATATAAAAAAATCTGAGTACACAAATAAGTACATCGGGGTTAATTTTATTGCACATTAATTTTAAACGGCCTTGCAAGGTGGGAGTAGTTTATTTACGTCTAAACTTTTGAAATCGTTCAATTAATTTTAGCTTACACGAGACGGGGCGACCACAACATACTCCTGCTGAACGCTCCCAGGCTGGAAGCGGGCCCGTGGTATTTGACAGCCGCTCAAAATACTCGAATCGTGGGGGAGTACACTGCCAAGTTCATCGATTACCTCGTATCGAGAGGCCTCTATTTGCCCAGTTTGCATTTGACGGGGTTAAGTTTGGGAGCACAGATGGCAGGGGTGTGCGGACAGAATGTAAAGAGTGGCAGGATACGCCGCATAACCGGTAAAGGAACATTTGATATCGGTTGATACGTTGTGCGCAGGAAGTTGCGGGCGAAGATATAAAGTTGAGGTTCCTTGGAACGCGGGAAATTTCATAGAAATGGAATTTGCGTTAAGTTATTGGAGAGGGGGAGTTGAAGATTGTTTGATGGTCGTTTTAATTTCAATGTTATGCGGATGGGAAACACGATACTCGATACGCTGTGGCTGCTTTTGAGAACCTATTTTTTAGGATATTTTTTAATCGAAAGGACGCGTTAGGTTCTGAGGGCGCAGCATTTTATCACAACACACAGCAATATTTTTTTTGTTTTAAAAAATATCAGAAATTTACCACAACATTTTAATGAACCAATATTAAAAACACCTTTTCAAAATAGAAACATATTTTTGACGATATTTTAAACAGAACTACATTATCGAAAAGGTTTCTGAAATAGTGAGAGCCAGTTTTTTTTACTTTTGCCTAAATCCTTTAAATTTTTAACGCTTTGCGAACAATTCACGATCAGAACAGTGATCTCTAATACATGGTGTTTCCATTCGAACTGTTTATAATTAGATAAATTGCAGCGTATGCTTTTATGTACCCTAACAGTTATTGCTATGGTGTGCCTCCCCCCCGCCCTCCGTTTACACAAATCCGCCATTTTTTTCTAATTCTTGGAGTATGTTTAGAAAATTTATATAAAAACACCAAAGATATTAATAAATATGCATTTTGAAAAGTTGCAGTTGAAAGTGATATAAGGAACTACCACCCAGTTTGTCTACAAATATTTTTAGCTCGCCTGATAAAATCTTTAATTGTTTCATAACTAGTTACCTGCCAATAAATTTCAAAATTTGAATATGAGGACAGGTTTTGGCGTTAGACTTTCCTTATTGTTATTAAATAAAAAATGCTCCATAAAAAAGGCCATACTGTCCTTATAAGTGTGCTTTCTAAGATGAAGTTTTAAAAGTCAGAATGCTTTGCAGAATAAACGTCATCGACATTTTGTCAAAACCATTCATTGAAGATCTGCAGGTATTTGCAATATCAAATCCAAATAGTTATCTGTTTATCTTATTCCTCTTTTCTTACAAACAACAGAATATATATACAAATACCTGTAGAGAATATCTAGAAATATTTGTCTCTGGATAAATGTTTTAAAGATGCATTTTGCAATATAACGTAATGGCAACATTGCCCATTAATAGATTCGGGAAGTTGAAAGCGAACATCACCAGTAATCTGCTTATAGAGTTTTTTTTCGGTAACATGATGAGAATTAAAGTTCCGAGAATGGGACCTTCGGTATAAAAAATATAATCCGCTAATGGGTGCGGGAAGGTATTTTTGATCTTCTAGAGTGGTCGGATTATGGCTGAATTATTTATACACTGTTTTTATACAACCGTAAAGCTTTCAACTTTCGGCGTTTTCCGTTTAGTTCGTTGGAGGTTTGCGGGTGAACGAATTTGGAAGAACCATTTTTCGACCCCTTAATAACAACTCTTATCTCGAAACCTACGGGGGTTACAAAAAAAATTTAAATACAAAAGTTGTTTCTATTAAAATGAGCTTAATTTTGTAAATTTTCCTAATCGTCACTTCTTTATGTACAGGGTGGCAAAACCGAGTTACATTTTATTGCATTTTTGGATATATATGAGTATGGGTCTGTGATGCACCGTTTCGAACTTATTAGCGATCATCTTCAGAATTCAGGTCATGGTTAAAGCATCATTGTAGGGTTGCTTATTATTTTTATTTATTTTAATGTTCTTCTTTAGGCAATTTAAAAAATTTTCTTAAAATTCGCGGTGTTGACACGTTTCGCAAAATGATACTTTTCTCAATTTTCTTACTTTTCCACTTTAATATCAATTTCGATTATATGACATAGTACTGGTCTCTGATTTACCGTTTTGGGTTAAATGGTTCGGTATAAGATTTAAATTATTAAGATATGAAACTGGGAATTAGCTCCTTATCAACTTGTTCACAACCGTTTTAGAGCATTGTTAAGAAGTCATATTCAAAACATAATATTAGGCATTGCACAATGTTGCCACATTTCGCAAATTACTTATTTCTACTTATTTCCGCCGTTTTCAGAATACAAGTAGTACATGCTATTTCTAATGGTAAATTGTGACGTAATTCGTTACATTCAGATCGTGTATTGCCTCACGAACTCCTTGCTGCACTTCCAAAATTGTTGACAGTTTATCTTTGTAAACCATATCTTTCAATGTGCCTCTCAGAAAAAAAGTCCATCGGGATCAAATCCGGACTCCTCGCTGGCCAGGAGATTTTGTGTCCAATCCACTCTCGTTTAAAAAACGAATACTTGCAGCACTTCGGTGGTAAGGAGCGCCATCTTGCCGCCAAATTAAATTTGGATGCTCTCTGGGGAATATCGTTATGTATAGGTGGCCGAATTTCGTTTCTTAATAAGTTTAAATATCGTACGTATGTTAAATTTTGTTTCACAGAGCTTCGTCCCTGCTTGTTTACTTCAAAAACACATTTTTTTATTTTTTGACCTTCAAATATGTTATGTAAAAAATGCCTATCCATCATTATATGGCAGTCTTAGTTTAAAACTTGCTTCTTGTAGTTTTTGTAAAAAGAAACTTCCACAGGCTACTGTAATACTTTCTACAAATTTTCTGAATTCCTTCTGTGTCGGTTTCAGCAAAAACCGAAGTTGGAGGAATCTAGAAATTTTGTAAAAATATATGTTTGAAGTGTGGTTCGTCTTACGTCTACATCTGGAACGGCAAGGCGGGTAGAGGTCTCTGGAGTATTTTCAGAAGAATATCTAGCTGCATATTTTCGACCAAAACCGTTCGGCTCCTACTTTTTTTCACCAAAACACTGTTGGTATATTTTCACAAACATTTTTTCTTTTTTGGCAATCGTATATAGGGAAATTTGGCTCTATATTGTTTTGTTATTGCCGATGTAACATCCTAATAGGTCAACTCCCTTCGTATACATTATAGAAAATAGACTCAACAAAAATTCAACTTAATGAAATAAATAGAAAATAGTCGAAGTCCGATCACATACGCGTAAAATATTATAATACTATGATACCTGTCGAAAAAATAGTAATATTACCACAACAAAGACCTACTATGATTTTCAAAGCTACTGCGATGATTATATCAAAAAGGTCAAAATTAATAATATCATCAATTTTATATTTGTGTCTTTCATATGAATATTTAATATTTTTTAAAAGCTTTTTTCCATTTTTATCTTCAAGGTTCAAGAATTTATGTATTATTGGAAAATAATTGCAAATTAAGCGAAAACGTTAAGTCAGCAACACGTACTATGTTATATAATTAAAAATCCAATAATATACAGGGTGGCACATTTAAGAAAATTGAGAAAAGTATCATTTTGCGAAACGCGACAACACCGCGTAATTTAAGAAAATATTTTAAATTTGATCATTGCCTAAAGAAAAGTATTATTTTTGTAAAAACAATGGACGGAAAAAGGTTTAAAATGTTAATAACCGACCCTACAATGATGATCAACAATGATCGCTAATAAGTTCGAAACGGTGCATCACAGATCCCTAGTCATAGATAACGTTCAATTTGTCTTTGATAGGACTATCCAAAAATGCAATGAAATGTGTCTAAATGTATGTTTGTTTTACCACCCTGTATATAACAAGTGACGATTAGAAAAATAAAAAAAAATTGTAACCTCCGTAGGTTTCGAGATAAGATATAGGCCCCTCTTAAACGGGCCACCCTGTACAATTATGTCAAAACTGGGACTTCCCGGAACAATAACGTTCTTGAGAAATTTGTATGATTTTCAAAGATAATTTTCAAAATATGCTTTTGAATTTTTACTAGTTTTATGTTACAGTCATAGGCCGAATCTGAAATTGGTAAAGTATACATAATTAAAAATTTTACGCTATATAAACATGCCGTAGAGCATTTTGGTTTAATATGTATTTACTAAATGATCCATTTGAAAATGCAATTTTCTGAATGTTTAAATTTTTAAACGTACTTCCAATATCACTACAAAACAGCAACCTTGCTCACTGAACATTCATATACATTCCATGTATAAATTAAATATAATTAAGGATACAAGATGCTTCCCTGAGGTAACCCCTCTAACACGTGTTACACACTAAGAATTAAAACATTTAATGAATAAGGTTGTAAATTTAGTTAAATCGATATTAAAAATAAGATAATTAAGACCGCTATTTTTGTTTTACCATCGAAGGTATGGACCCTGCCGGTCCACTCTTCACCAAATGGCCAAACAGTTTAAAATTAGACGCCGACGACGCCGAGTTCGTCGACGTCATCCACACCGACGCCGGAATATTCGGTTATCCCAGTCAAATAGGTCACGCTGATTTTTGGCCCAACAGAGGTCTCGCCCCTCAACCTGGTTGCAACCTGAAAGAAGTCAAACGACGAAATCCAGACGCCGTGTTGGAATATGGTGACTCGATTCGGAAACCCGTTCACTTTTCCGTATTAATTGGTTTGTTGTAGCCTTCTGTAGTCATTGGAAGTCATACCAGTACTTTGCGGAGTCTATAGTAGATCCAAATGCGTTTTACGGGGCCGTCAATTGCGATAGCTGGGGGGACTACGAAAAAGGAGTGTGTAATGAGGATACGAGTTTCGTCACCCAGATGGGGCTGTACGTAGATACTAGGTAAAATCGTAAAATCATTTTAAAAACAACAATTTGGCGTAATCCAGATTATTTTTACATTCGAAAACAATATTTTGTAGAACAATATCCCACAAACAAAAAGAAACCAGTCTCCATTATTCAGACAACGGTTTATCATCGCCGCGTGTCACCTTATATGGCGGCGGTCTGCTTCTTTTCCTTCCTGCCAGTGGAACCCTTTGCTACTCTGACGAATTTGCTTGTTTTTAATATGATCTGGTCGTGACAATTGCCTGATTTTTCGTCATTTCAATGGCAAGGTTTTTACTTCGTGCGGTAGACGGAATTTCTGTGTGCCTTTGCTGATATCATAACCTGCCGGATTTATCATTTGCCATGAGCTGTCGTACTGTCTGTCACCTTTACTGTTGCTTGTTTTGAAAATAAAGTTGCTCCAGGTGTGAGGGGTAGCCACATTTTTCTTCCAGTACCATGTAGTTTTTTGTGCATTACAAATCATTTTAATAATATATGTTGCTGGTAACTTTTTAGTTCTAATTTGTCAAACGTGGCAAGATGCTATTAAAATATCCCAGCCTGGTGAAACGAATAACCGTTTTAAAATAAAAATTGAAAAAAATGAATACATTAGAGATGAATGATGATGAATGTGATTTAAAATATAGATTATAGAGAATACATTAAAATTTTATTACATAGTTGTACTGCGTAAATCCGCTCGAGTTACAAACTAAACAGTTAAATTATAAGGTTTTTTTTGCATGTCCTGTTGCTAACAATTATTCGTTATTTTTAATTTTAATTACTTGATTTAGTTCGCTAGAGCTTAGCCTAGGTCTTTCCTCAATTGTTTTGCAGCTTTTTTTCGAAAGAAATTTTGTATCTTATTAATCCTATTGTTATTATTATTTGATTTTCTTTTTAGGGCTAGGGGCAACTTCTTTTTGACAACCAACGCGCAGTCACCGTATTCAAAAACTTGATGTTTTCTTTTAAATAGCCGTGAATTTGTAAATTTAAGTATTTATTTCGTCCGATCCAGTAGCCACGTGGTCCCTTAGAAAATTCCGTCTAGTCTTAGAGTAAGAGTATTTATTTCTGTCCTGTAAATAATTAAGAGAAAAGTTATGTAAAATATTTATGATATACCTTGTACAGAAAATTGCTTTTTTCTTGAACAATTATTGCAATGTACCTCGATATGTATATGTAGATAAAATTTACCATTCAAACCAAGAAAATTAAATGACATAATTAAATATCATCACAGTAATTATGCTTTTTATTTATACCTAGTATTTTCAGTCAGTCTTCCTGTGCATTTCTACGCATTGTCGATGGAAAACATTAAACTCAGTTTATTCATTAACTACACTTCATTGTTGTCGCCATTTTAAACCGTTGATAAATTTCTTAATAGTCCGCGTTGCCCAATATTATTATCGGTCTCTAGCTAGCTATTACGCAGGGGGTTTAAAAGTTTTGCAGATAATGTGTGACAGTAGTAATTACATTATACCTAATTTGGTTTTTCCAATTAACCAAAAAATGCCGATACGGCTTAATAAGTACGGTAATGGAAAGTATACGTTTAGTTACTTTCCAAAACCAAGCGCATACCTACTAAATTTGGTGCTTAAATTATCAATTTTTGCTACTAATCTTCTTTGCACAGTTCGTATACCAACCGTAATTTCTGGAATTTCGGCAACTATTCGAGGTGCGGACTTCCAAGGATCTTGTTGAGCAATTCTTTTAATGCGCCTGTCAGTCAAAACCGTTGTTTCTAAGTGTCCTCTGTCATTATACGATGAAATTATTCTAGATACGCTGTACCGCGGTAACATAAACTGTCTTGAAATATCAGCTTGATCGGTACCTTCCATAAATGCATTTACTACTCTTTGTTTTAGGTCTTTTGAAATTGGAATTCCTCTTCATTTGATTTATATAATATAGAGAAAATACAATATACATAAAACATAAAACATAACGCGCTCTGTGGGTATCTGGACATACATTAAAGCTGAACGAAGATTATCACAGAAACTTATCATCGAAAGGGGGAGTCGAATGTTTGACTAAGTTTTGGAACCTGTTTATTGGGCGTTGTTTTGTCTCAGGCCTAAGTTTATTAAAAAAATTGATGGAGTAGAAAGAAGGAAGAAGGAAGAAGTCAGGTCAGAGGTTGTCCCTATTCCGTATTTTGTAGGGGTTAACTTTATTCATTCATATATGAGGTTTGTGATTATTCTAATTACCATGTAACATGTACATGTAAATTGGTTACTTTTATTCTGATGGTACCATTTTTGTAATTGGTAAGATTCGACTCAATGATACTTGAATTCGTTTACTACACACTTGTTTCAGAATATCCACTGTAGAACATCCAAGTGTTTGTCTTCATAGTCGAAATTTCTTGTATTTACGTTCTTCTTCGATTCGATTAAATTTGATTATTGATTGTCACTTGGTCATAAGTACTTTTAACTGGAGAGCCTCCATTACAATGAAATTGGCTGTAAAGTGAAGTATCTACACTTTTTTATTGACCCCGCTAGCATATTTGAGGTTTGTGATTATTCTAATTACCATGTAACATGTACATGTAAATTGGTTACTTTTATTAGGACTGTACCAATTATGTAATTGGTAAGATTCAATTCAATGATACTTGAAGTCGTTCACTACCCACTAGTGAGGCTGCAGCTTAGATAAGCTTCTCTTGTTTCAGAACATCCATTGTAGAACATCCAAGTATTTGTCGTCATAGTCGAAATTTCTTGTATTTACGTTCTTCTTTGATTCGATTAAAGTTGATTATTGATTGTCACTCGGTCATAAGTACTTTCAACTGGAGAGCCTCCATTACAATGAAATTGGCTGTAAAGTGATGTATTTATACTTTTTTATTGCCCCCGCTAGCAGTCGTTTCAAAACCATCTAATATAATATACTGCAAGAATGAAATTTTAATTGCACCACCAAAACATTAGTAAAATGTGGTCGAACTTTAACGTACTGGTTTGTGTGCTGGACAGTGGCAATTTTTAGAAACAAAAAGTCGTTTTGCATGATAATTGGCCGTCGACTATTAATCTCGTGGCACGTGCACCCATTAAATGACCGTAAAATATCTTTTAGGCATGTTCGGGTAGGCTTGAAATCGGGTGTTGAAATTCACATCGGTTTGCCGCTGATCGGTTTGTTAACGCATTCAATAAAATTGTTATAAGTCAATGCAAAAACGAAATTTTTATTATTATCCATAGCGACGAGACATGGCTACCGGCCTTTCCTTGTTTTGTTTCTTGGCCAATATGCCGGGTAAGTAGTGAGTGTTTTTTATTTTATTTCGGCGTGTTTCGGCTTCTCTTCTTCACCTTCGATCGAAAACCGGGCAAACAAAAATGCACGTTTAGTTGAATTTTTCGGGAATCAAACTGAACAATTGCTTTTGTTGGTAGTGGTCACAAAAGTTTAATAAATTTTACTTTGGACCAAAATAATTTTAGGTATTTAATTTAAAAATCTTATGACTTATTAAAACTTAAATAAAAATGTTGACATTGACAATAATTCAGAAAAAATATTCTTGGGAAATTTGCACGAATATCCTTTTCAAAATCGCAATCGAATCGAATAGGTCTAGTTAAATGTAGGAGAGCTGTTCAAATTCAAAATTACACGAAATAATATCTAAATTAAACTCATCCTGAAATGCCTTAAATAATTATTCAAGGTTCTTTGTTAAATTTGAAAAACATTACAAATATTGTATTATTATAATTATAAATTACAAATTTAACTTTGGGGGTAAAAATAGTCCTTATTCAAGATCACTTATATCATTTCTCTTTAAAAAAACTTGGAAACTAAAAATAACTTAAAAAAAAAAAAGTGCGATGAAAATCCTTTAAAAATGTTTTCTTACCGTTCATTGTGTTGTTTGCTCAAAAATGGTGCGCATCTCACTTTAGTAAGTATAGAGTAGTAGTTGACATTGAAAATTACATTATATACTAGCGATTTCAGTTTGAATTTGTATCTTAGCTTAACTTTAATGAACTTAGCTTAAGCATAATAGGCTTCTTTGGCAAATTTTTACCACATTTTGAATTTTATAAACAAGAAAGTTAAAAATCAATAGATCAATTTGGTTAAATATTCTTGAATCTGACACTTGGTTTCATTTTAAGGACCTCCGTCAATTAGATTCCAGAACATGACCTTGCAATTGTGGTCGGTCAATAAAAGAATATGTCCCGAGTTTGACCCATTAAGGGACACAATTTTTCATTTATACACCAGGTAAGTGTGTTTCAGATTTAAAAATTATTGGATTTGATAGATAGGTAGATTCGAAACGTAAATTTAGTGTCTATTGCAAATTACCGCGGATCGTGTGTCTACGATATTTAGTTCTAATAGTAATTTATTTAGTGGTTTTTGGCACACACCTTTCACCAAGAAAATGATAATTCGAAGTATTGCACATTCAGTCACTCGAGCAATGTTTGTCTGCGTGAATGTCATTTATTAATTCTGACGAGAAACTGATTTAGTGCCAATATATCTCACCATTAAAAAATATTTACAGATATTTGCTCCATCCTTTTTTTAATAATGTTATGCTTAATTTTTACATAACATAAGATGAAATACAGGTTTTTATCACTCTCGTTTTAGGAAAAATTCGAAAATATCGCGGATTATATTCCTGGATGGCAACGTCACTATTATTTGCAATATTCAGAAAAAATATATAAAAATTAGTGTTTTTATAAAAGTATGTATTTTTTTTATAATTTATAAGTCTTAAAATTTTTAAATGTTTTCTATTATTTGTTGTTCTTATAGGATTTTGTTCATCTGGAAAAAGGTATTTGGAGATATATGCGAAGAGTCACTTACAAGCATTTCATATCTTATCATTAACAAAATATTAACAGATATTAGCTCCATCTTTTTTTTGTAATCTTATGCTTACAATAAGTTTTACCCCTTATAACTCTCTGAAATTAATATGGTATATTTCTTGTAAGAATAGCATAAGATGAAAAACAGTTTTTTTATCACTCTCGTTTTAGGAAAAATCCGAAAATATCGCAGATTATATTCCTGGATGACGACGAATCATTGACCAGATCCAATATAGATTTTTCCTTAGAAACAATTATTTTCTTTCACGGATATTTGGAATCTCACGAAAATGACGACGGACAGTCGGTGAAAAATGGTAAGTAATACCACGTTGATTATGAAATTATTAAGGACGTATCGAAAAGGAGCCGCAGAATTAAAAAATCCAATCAAATTTGGCTATAATATTATTTCAAGAAAAATTTTGGCAATATGGTATCTAAAGAATTTTTTTTAAGTGCCAACTGTTAAAATTTCACCCAATTGGAGCAAGGGGCAGGAAAATTTGAAAAAGTAACTATTTAGAAGAAAAAAAATAATGAAACTACAAACATTTTTATATAAAATACATATATGTAAATAATTATATAAAATTATAAATTATATGTGAAATTAACAATCAAGAAGGCAAAATGAATGGAAAACGAAGTAATAAATAGAGAAACGCAATAAACCAATTTGAGGCACATAAAAATAGAAATTATAGAGTACCACAATAGACTGATTCCATCGCATATAAAAAATAAATTCCGTAGGATTCAATTAAAATTGTGAACATTATTGTCCAAACGTACTTTTATCTTCTTGTTGTTGCCCATTAGCGTACACTACAGTCGGAACCATGTAGCTCTTTTTTAATTTTGAAAGTAACGATCAACAACCTACAGTATTTTTTTGCGAGCAAAAAAGAAAAAAAACATTTTTCTCTTTTTCATTAAAATTAACCATTTTGTAAAATCCGCTCCGCCTACGTTCGCAAGGAAATTGAGGAACTTCTTACACCTCCGCGGGGCACAATATTTTTAATAGAATTTAATTTCCACATTCGCTGCCGCAGTTCAGCCGAAGTTTTCAATTTTTTATATTTTCCCTTTGCAACGTTATCTCGAGTGGTTGCGGTGACTTTATGGTGAGCACACAACGTCCGTATTTATTTGTTTGACAAACGCTTGAGAAAAATATACATAAACTGCAAATAAAAGCCAACCTGTACAATAATAATATTAATGACAAATATAGGTAAGTATAGAATTAAGTTTCGGGTTGAGTATCATGGAAATCTGAATTTTAAGAAAAAGATAAATTAATAAATGCGAAAGAGATAATATTAAAATTTTGATAAGTGGGTGGACGGACGGTGATAATTTTTCTCTGTCTTTATAAACCCAGCAAAAAAAAAGTTCATTTTTTTGGATAAGTAAGGAACTTACACCTATTGCATAATACATATCTGATTTCGTTTTTAAAGAAATAATAACTAATAGAGTCATTACATGAATAAAGTGTTGTACGTAAATTTGTGCGTTTTATTTATAGTTAAAAGCACATTTTTTTCCAAGAAAATATCCCATTTTTAAAATTTATAAATATATTGTAAAAAGTTATACTTTTTTTAAAATTAGCAACAAAAGGTTTTTTACATTGTGAAAGTATGGTGGCGACCAAACAAAAAAAAACAATTGAGCAGCATAAAAACGTCACTATTATTTGCAAAATTAAGAAAATATATATAAAAATGAATATTTTTATAAAAGTATGTATTTTTTTATAATTTATATGAGGTGTAATTTATAGCTTACAAAATTTTATTTTTTTTCCTATTATTTGTTGAAAACAGTGGTTCGTATAGGTTTTTGTTCATGTGGAAATGTGAGATTTTTAAGCCACAGTAAATAGTAGGTATTAGTAAATAAGTGCAGTGCGAACATATTAGTCAATAAAGTAATCAAATAACGAGAACACCGCATTCTGATATATCTAAAGGAGTAATATAAAGACAAGAATTCTTATTAGTAGCAGTCCTTTTTTATTGTAAAATTTGCCTCACTTTTCTATTATGCTGTTATACAGCGACTTTCCTACACTATAAATTAAGATGGATTAAAGAATTTTGAGAGCGTAAACAGTCTTGAATATATCTTTGAAGGAAGGGTTATTAATTTATTAATTCCCGCGGCATCCTACCATATACATGACCGACCACGTAAATGAATAATGCATAGTTTATTTGGCAACTTGTGTTTGTATTTTCACCTCAGAGATCGTTTAGAAACGAAATTAACCGAAAACAATTATTACCACATTAAATTAAATCGGAACGTTCGGTGTTTAATTAAATGCATTTTTTTTTGGATTGGCTTTCAGACCATTTGCATTTTACTGCTCCGCTGGTGTATATATATGTGTGTGTGTGTGTGTGTGTGTGTGTGTACGTGTGGAAATGGGAAAGTTAAATAATATATTATTTCAAAACCAGGCGCAATATGCATTGCAGTTCGGGAGCGGTGACGGTGGCTCTCTTTTGTTCCGCCTCATAACGTGCGTGCGGATAAACCGGAAATAAGAAATTTTAACCCAAACCGATCGGATTTATGTCGCCCTGCGATTTTAATATTTTCCTTTTGTTCAATAAATTAGTATTACTACAAAACGTTCGTTGGATTTAAACAAACAATGAAATATATTAAAAAATTATCAGTTTTTCTTAACCGCTTAATGTACACCTCCAAGACATACACGGGCAACGTTTACCGACAGAATTGTGCACCTTCGTGAACGTCACGGGCACTGTAATTTTATATGTCTCAAAATATTACAGCTCCGTATCGGTCACGGTTGATAGAGAAATATAATTTTCCAAATATTTTAAGTGCGTATCTGTCACGTTGGATGGTAGATTATTGCCATTCTCGGAAATTTTCATATATGCAGTGATATTTGAAAATCCCATCCTTTAAGTAAAAGTTTTCTATGGTGGTATAAATACGTGGATGATGACTTTGCTTGCTTTGTTGGAACGGACGGACAATTGAATTCTTTTTTTAAATTATATTAACTCATTACATAATCGTATAAAATTCGCTATCGAGATTGAACAGGATAACTGTATTAATTTTTTAGACTTAGCTATTACGAAAGCGTAAAACAAATTAGATTTTTCAATTTATCTAAAACCTTCACACACGGATACAGTCATACATCACAGCTCAAATCAGCCTTATACACATGAAATGGCTGCATTTCACTTTTTTATACACAGACTTCTTAATATGCCACTCTCAACAGAAAATTACAACAAAGAACTTAATATCATTAAACAAATGCACTGAACAACGGCTACAATCCGTGCATTATAGATAAAATTATAAATAAAAAACAAATCCAGACACGAACACGAACAATTTAAAACAAATACATGCATAGGAGAACCTAGTGAAAAAGTTTCAAAACATTTGTCAACATGTGCTTTAAAAATAGTTTTCAGAACTAACAACACAATAGGAAAATTTTTCAAAAACAATAAAAAGAAATTTTATATTGGACGCTACCGGGTAGATTCTTCAAGAAATGCATTAACGAACATGAAAGAGCGTTTAAAAATAATGGTCTAGATTCTAATTATGCTACAAACTTGAACACGGAAAAACACATTTTTGACGACAATTTTGATATTTTACATACAGCCACAAAAAATAGAAAATTTAATTTATTGGAAGCCATGGAGATTAACAAAATGAGATATTCAAATGTATTGCTTAACGGTCAATTAGATTTAAATACCTCTCCTTTATTGAACTTAAAATCTCACAACATTCATTAAAGTTTTTCGGTATATATAGTAGCAGGTAGTTTGTAAATTTTACATTACTTACATTACATATATAATTTAATGGAAATCTGAACTTTTAGTTCTTATATATTTTGATAAATGGATTTTCATCAAGTAAAATCCACCTCAGTTCAATTTTCGAAAGTCCAAGACATCTTACAATAATCAGTTTTACGCTAGTACAACACTATAAAATATTTTATCTCACGCAAGATTTTTTTTTATTGTTTAATATTAAAAAATTTATTTAGAAAGAGACATTTTTGCTACTCCAATATTTCCAAAACTAATATCTTTACGTCGATATTTATACAAAAAAAAATACATTTTTCTGATAATGAATCATATGACTGTCATGCTCATCCGAAACCTAAACTAAACAAAATTTGACCTATAAATGAAGCTCTAAATAGAAAATTTGCTACATTTTACATATCTGAACGAAACATAAGTGTAGATGAAAGTTTGTTATTGTAAAAAGGACGATTGGGTTCGATCCAGTACATCCCTCTAAAACGATCTCGTTTTGGGATAAAAATCTACATGCTCTGCGAATCTAAAACATGGTATTTATATTCTTTTATCATTTATACTGGAAATAATATAATATAATATCCCAAAAATATAAAGATATGCGTCTATTACTTCACAGGTCGTATTGTGTTTAGCAGATTCTCTACTAGATATGGGAAATTTTGTAACGACCGACAATTACACGTCCCCAAAACTGGTAGAATCACTTGTATCCACAAAGACTGATTTATATGGTACTCTGACAACTTGATACAAAAAAAAACTAATAAAGGAGAATATATAGTATTCCAAAGAAAAAACTCAGTGACATGACAAGAAAGAAATTTGTCTCTTGTCGACAATTCACAATCCCGAAAATGTCCTAACTGCGAAAAAAGATAAAGAAGGAAATCCCATAAAGAAACCTAAATTAGTTGTGGACTACGACACCCATGGGAGGCGTCGATAGATTAGATCAACACTTACATGACTATCAACTAACTAAAAAACGGGGGAAAAATATCATAAAAAAATATTTATGCATTTATTTGATTTTGCTATTTTCAACTCTTTTATTTTGTTCAAAAAGAATGGAGGAGCGATGGATAATGTGGAATACAGAACAAAGGTGATAGAAGAAAGGAATGAAAAATATCACTTGAGTACAAACGTCAACAAGGAAGGGCGACAAAGACATATGGGATCATTACGACTAAAGGAACGACATTTTCCTGACTGACAAAAACCATATAGAATGCTCACCCTGGATACAAATATAATATATAACAATAATAAAAAATAAATTTAATAATTTCAAAAAGTACATTTAAAATTGCCTTAAGTTCGCAAACATATATGCCTTAATTGCTATAAAATATGTTTCCACCTCTGTATCTTGATAACATTTCCATATCAGCAGCATGCAGATATCTGTTTTGAGAAAATACATGCATGTTTTTCTCACTACGTTCTTTAAATTGGTTATATAATGTTCAACAGGACGAGTTTCTGTAATTTCAAAATATCCTAAAATTCTGAAGACGCCTGCAATCCCCGAAGCAAACCTTATAATGGATTGGACTTGATCATGATAAAAAAGTTTAATGGTCTCAATAATCTCTCTCATTGTTCTGACCAGTCCACACAGATTGCTCATTGTCAAATGAAAACAAGAAATGTGATAATCCCAGCACAGGTTTGCGTTTATAAGAAGTACCAGGAATTTTATATGATCATTATTGGAATTGCTCTTCAATCACATCGAACCAGCAAGAAGCATGTGTTATTAGAACTTTCAGAAAAGGCTATCAATAACGGTTTTTATCGATTCTGCCATACCACAAGTTCCTAATGACAGACTACGACTGGAAATGTCATATAGCACAACAGATGTCTCTTCCGCAAACTGACACAAGCTTGGCTCTTCCTTTGATGAAGGAGGGCTTCATTCAAATGTATTTAGTTTGTTTATTAATAGAATCACGATTTATCGGCCCGAATAACCAATTTCATAACTTAAATATTTCCAAATAATCTATAGTTTCGTGGGTAAATAAACATTAATGATTATTATGTAGGTACAGAGGTTCTTTAATTGTCTTTCTTTCTAAGCACAAATGAACCTTTTCTTTTTCGCTACTCCTTACTCGAAATTATTCAATTATGCTTTAAAAACTATGAAACTTGTTGCATAGTATACTATTTGTAGAGACTGAAATTAATTTTTCAGCATATTTGGAGGTAGGAGATTACAACGTCATCTTGGTCCAAAACGAACGTCTACTGGCGGGTCCGGATTACATCACCGCCGCATACAACTGCCAACCCATTGCCCGATATTGTGGTAGATTTATAGATTATCTGGTGTCGAGAGGAATGTGGCTGTCCAAACTCCACGTGATCGGGCTTAGTTTGGGAGGACAAATAGCTGGTATGACGGGACAGTACGTAAAAAGCGGACGTCTTCCCAGAATTACTGGTAAGTACTAAGAAAGGTGTCGAAGGTGAAGCAAATTTGATGTTCAAGACTCAGATCATAAGCGATTCAAGACCGGTCTAATACTTTTATACATGATAGTGCTGACTCGATGGATTTCCCAAACAAATTCCTTGCGTTGATTCCCCGTATATCGAATATGCTCAAATTTCACTTCCATTAGTCCGTACAGTGCTAGATTAATATTAGAATGTAACAAACATTATAAAAGTGTTTCAGCGCTGGTACATCTTTTAGGTGCTATTGTTTTCTCTCTTCTTTTCGTGCGTTGTATTAATTTTATTGGATATTATGCATTATTAACCAAATAAACAGGCTGGAGTTATTGAATAGAATAGATGGATAAAATGGATTTGACGGTTGGTGCTTAGAGACTACTTCCCACTCATGGATAATACCAGTCACCACTAAACCAAACTAACCAAAACTGTTTTAATCTTCTCCTGAAGATGCCAATTTGGTTGGCGATACCCGCTTCGAGTACGTAAAATTGAGTTTCGGTTTGTGGTGAAACGCGTTATTGTGTGTGAGTGCAGTGCAGAAGGATCCAGTCAGTTATACAAGGTGTTCACAAAAAAAACTTTATATTTAGAAACAGTTTTTAATTAAATCATGGTAACGGTTTAATAACACTACACAAAATGTAAAAACATTGTGAAATACATATATTTAGGTAAATAAAAAAATAATAATACAGGGTGTCCCAAAAATAACAATTTAACAAAAAAACTAATTATTTATTTAATATAAATGAAAACAAAATATTGTTATTGTTATAACAGGGTTTTAATACATCTAATGTATCATTCAGTTAAACATTTGGCTCTGTTTTTGTTACAACTTTTGCATTAGTCCTAGCTCTAAAAAAGTTAGTTAAAAGTTAAAAAGTTAAAAAGTTAGAGCGTTCATTCTAGGTTTTGATTTATAGTTAGTCTTAAGAGTCAAAAGAGCATGACATCGCATAGTAAACAAAAGTTATGACATTACCTTCCATTATTGAAATGCCAAGAATAATAACAATATCTTACATGAATCAAACTTAAGTTACACTATCGCTCTATAAAAAAAAAAATCAATTTATATATTAATAGGTCAAAACTTATAACGAAAGACATATTTCTCCGTCTTTTTTGCCCACGTGGTGAGTCTTTTAAAAAATATTTTTATGAAATGGAGCAGGTGGGAGCAAGATTGTATCTTACACGTAACACCACAACATGTTACTTTAATACATAGTATCAACCGCATCCCTAATTTGTGCTAAAATTGTAACATATTGCTTAATAAATTACAAACATACTTTGTTGGGTTAGTTTCCTAATGTGGCTCAAAAGAATGTAGAATTTTTTAAGTAATTTATTTATCATAAACTTAGTCTCAAAACTTACCTTTACGAACTTCCTGCATCTTGAATTTTGTCAAAAGCTAATTTTGTTTCATAAATCCCCTACGCTTTTCACATGAAAAATTGTATAAATAAAACATTCTCAAAATGATACTGACTACAAACGTTACAAAATTATTGTTGACGTTTCCATGGTAACCAGACGATTTGAATCATTAAGTTGAGAGTCATTGAAATAATTTCCCTGGACTACAACTACAGTACATATGATTACTTCGTGTTATAGTTATTATTATATTAATTATCATTTAATCTCTATAATTGTAAGCATGTATCATAAGAACAATTATGATAATGAAAATTTAATTTGGAAAGGAATTACCGAGAACACGATTGGGAATAGCAATAGTAATATTTATTACCGTCATAATTATTAAAAGTTTAACTCCACATTAGACTTCAATGTCTATTTTAATTCTAATTATAGAAAAACATATTTAAATATTTTGCCAAATGCATCATATTTTCTGCAGCGGTACATGTAGGTTTAGGCTGAATTTGTAAATGTTCCCTTGTGACGCCATTCATTGGAGGAATATACTGAGTTAATGGGTTTGTGATTTACTACTATGATAATGATTATAAGATGATAGAACGAGGTTTTTAAATACCGCGTGTGTAGAATGAGGTATATGTATATATTGTTGATGTACCATTAACTGCACCTTATTTCTTAACCTGCGTTTTTGTTTCTTGAGCAAATAAAATCCCCATAGTTCGGCCGATACAATTTCCAAGCCGTCATACATATCCGAGCTAACAGCAATACGGAAACCGTATTGCTGTTATTCGAGATATTTCGGCGATCCCAAACACTAAAGTGAATTACGTCGATTTCCGTTTTCCGGGAAAACTCTGTTTTCTATAACAACACTTGAATAAAACATTTAAGGTAAATCCCGACGAAATCTGTTCGCAGAGTTATCGAATGAGGATCCGATACGTACACAGTAAGGATCACATTTTCGAATGGATATTACCTATTTAATCTTTGATTTCTTGCGTAATATTGAGAGTTCCCAGAACGTTATAAGGGTATTAACGTTAATTAATTATAATTGTGGTATGTTGCGCGAAGGTTTGATATATTGGAATGGAAGTTGGAGATGCATTAAAATGGATAAATTCGAACTGATCTAATACAGCTTATATTAATTTTAATAAACGTATTTTGCATTTAAATTCCCGTATGCAATACATATAGGAGTAATTTTTAAATATGAAATAAAATAAAAGTATGTAAATCAAATATTTACTTTTAAATTGCAAACTTTATAACAATAAATTGAAAATGTAAATTATAGCAGCGCGTGCTATTTGGAATTGTGTTTATAACGAAAATAATATTCGAAAACGTGTAGAAATTTCAACGAAATGTAAGCTTGGTGTTTTAGTTGGAATTTAAGTTGTCAATGAATTAATACCTAATGCAAAAAATTAGAGAACCAAAATATGACGCACATTGTTCTATGTAATAAGAATAATAATAATAAAAAGTATAATAATGATAATAATATTTTATATCTTTCTATATTTATTCTATTTATGTCTTTGCATGTTATTAAAAGTTACTTTCTTAAATACATAAATACATAAACTTTATGAAAGTGTGTGAGCTAAATCTACAGTAAAGTGTAACAATTTATTGTAAATCTCAATAACGAAATTGCATGCCATTTTATACAGGGTGGCCAAAAATGTTAACTTGATTAATTTAAACGAAATAACATATTTCAATTTGGTCTGATTTTGCTTTGATCACTTTCTCATAAACTTTAGCACGACTTGATATTGGTGCAAATTCTGTTATTAAGAGTGAAAACTTGTGACGTGTTTAAAAATCAATGGTTCATCAACTAGTCAAGTGCTATAAACAATAACATGGATAATAATAATTAAAATGTTCAAGATTTTTAAAAATTTTGGAAATTAGTTCATTAGCCAATCAAAATTGACTATAAAGATTGCATGAAATCAAAGGAGCATATTTAGTTTGACATTGGTCAAGCATAAAAATCATATCAAAGCGTTTTTTTTTTGTAAATTTTATTAGGGCTAAAAAACACCACTACAATCATATCAAAATTTTGAGAAAAAAGCGAAAAATTAGCCACAGAATACCTTAACTCCAATTGATTAATCAAGTTAGAGTTGTAGTTAGATTGGGATAAATTTTTGAACACTTTGTACAAGATTCGAAGTTTTTAATAAGGTTTCACACTTATGTAACTTTTACTAGCAAATCGACTTTTGGAACTTTCAACGAAATATAAGTTTGATCTGTTAGTTGGAATTAATGAAAACGAGCGACTACGATTACAGAAATTAATGCTTCGCTTGCGTTATCATCATTAAAAAATAAGTACCAATATTTCACATTTTTTGATATTTACTCTATTTAATAATTCCATATTAACAAAAGTTATTGCAACTAAAACAAATTTAATTAAATATTTTTAAAACCGTCTAAGTGTTAATAACTAAAGTTTCAATATAATTTAATTTTAATTTAATAATATATGAATTATATTGTTTGCACAACTGTTTCTTGCAATATACAATTTTAATTTAAATTATAAAAAGTGAAATAAGGTTAATGAATTTTTCACAAAAAACCTTTCAATGAAAACTCATTTTTATTTTATTTAATTAATAATATTAATTAATATTAATTAATTAATAATATTAATTAATATTAATTAATTAATAATATTAATTAATATTAATTAATTAATAATAATTAATAATAAATGTTATAAAAATTACGTATTTGTATAACTTGAATTGTTGAATTTTTTCTTAGTGAAAATAAATTAATTGGAAAAGAGAATAACTTTATCTGAAATTTTTCCTTTCTATACTTTGCTAATTGTTTACCGGGCATTTATATTAAAATTCCATCAAATCCGAAAAGCCATTTGAAAAAGCACAATGGCTTATTGTGCGTGTCCCATTTTGACTCGCTAGGGGGGGTTTTCTTAACAAAACGGTCCAAAGTGATTTGGGTTTTCTTTCAAATTTCTTATCGAATGGTCCCTCCCCACTTTCACCCTTTTAAACGATACGTTATAATTGAAGCCTTTGATCCGGCCGGACCTCTGTTCAACTTCGTCAAAGAAAACGAACGGATCGACCCTTCGGATGCGGACTTTGTGGACGTCATCTTCACGAGTTCTGGCCTGTGGGGGATGAAGTACTCTGTCGGAGATGTCAACTATTGGCCCAACGGTGGCGGCAAAAAGCAACCCGGTTGCAGTATACCGGAAATCATCAATCGATATGGAATCTATATACCGTGGTTGGGTAAGTCGCCTTTCGTAAGATGCGTACCCATTCATTTGGCGATAGAATGGGTTTTACAAAAACCGTGTGGGTCACGTTTTAAGGATTGAAATTGTATTATTTGAAAGTTACACAGCCTAGTTAAACTAAAAAATTACCGATACCATTACCGATCTAATTTAGAGCAAACTGCAGATCCCTGTTTCGATTTTTTTCTTTCATATTTCAGTTTTCTGCAGTCACTTTCGCTCGTATCAGTTGTACGTCGAGACTTTGAGAAGCCCGTATCTGTTTCCCAGTCACAAGTGTGATAGTTACGCTACCTTCAAATTGGGGTACTGCAAGAACACGCCCGTATCCTATTTGGGCGTGGCTGCGGATCCCAAGTAAGACGCGCAGTTTTTCTTGGACGCATAATGGTTTGAAATCGTCGTTCACATGAGAAATTTTATCGAATTTGGTTGGTTTTCTTGGTTAGCTTGGGTTAGTTTATTCAATATCGTGTTTATCCTTCCAGAGCTAATCAAAATAACCAGATTTTATGTTGGCTGTCGGTAATCTACTAATGATATAGTCACCTGTTTTCACAAGTACTGTGACTGCAAAGAGATCATACAGTTTTTCATTCATTATTCAAATGCTTGAATGCTCGTGATTTAAAAAATGTATAGCAATGGGCAATAAAATCTCTACTATTATTTTTAAGGTTAAATTGCAAGCAAAATAATAAAAAAATAGGATGTGATGAATGTTTATTTGAATTTTAGCAAACATAGAGGGGAGTTAAAACTAAAGGGACTTTCCGTTCAGTCTATGCTGTCAGTCAGTTAGTGTAATTTTAGGTTTCTTGTTTCTATCATAAAGTGTCCGATTTATTGACTGCTTTTAAAAGGGAAAACGAAAACTGACCACAAAATCGAGAACGACGATTCCACAATCGCGTGCGGCTTAGATGTAATTGCCATGAATTTTTAATTTTTGGTACGTAATTTTTAGGGACAAAGGGGATTTTTACCTGGATACCGGATTGATCGGAATCTACAACGGCTGAAATAAGCGGTAGTCAGATAGATTTATTTGGTTTAAAATATCTAGTTTGAGGACAAAATTCGTTTCGTTTTCCACATTTCCCGTTGCTATTGTTTTAAAATCGACGTTATCTGATCGATTATCTGTACATCGTGTAAAGCAAGCTTGCCCGAATTTGCGTCTCTGAATTCCCATCGCAGCGACATTTGCATCCACAATCTTTCCGGACTTAAACCCATGGGAGTCTGAAGCAAAACCTGCCAGTTCGGTTTCAGTTCACCTGTCAATAGCTACGAGAGAAATATACTAATGAAATAACTCGGTAAATTCCAAAGAATAGTCTACGTTCTTTTATTTTTTCTTGTTATCATAGACATGAAGGAAAAACTTCGAGTGACAGTGGAATAATCAGGTCTAGGTTTCACGATTATTGAACTGAGTTCGTGTCTAATTTACGACAATCCATGTGATCCAAGTTAAATTATAACAAACGTTGCTCAGATTTTCACAATTAATTTATTGGTGTGTGACATCTGTTTTGGCAACATCGTGCCTTTATCAAATACAATTTTTTTTTATCTAGATCTCAAAAAATCCAGTCAAAATCTATCTATCAATTAAAAATAAAGCTTCCCAATAAGATTTCGCAAATTAACTAACCAAAACTAACCAAATCTCTGCTTAAGCGTATACAACGTGATCCTACCGAGGTATCAAAACCAAATCAAATCAATATTATTAGACTCTTCTAAGAGAACTATTATTAATTAATTATTTGTTGTCACATGAAGCTGAACTTTCACGGAATTACTGTGAATCTCACATGATTCTGATAGACATCTACATTGACTCTAAAGAACAAGTAAAAGTATAAAACAATTTTACCACCATAAACTATTTTAAATGAGAATGCTCTGCAAAATACCTGGTCGAATGAACTGGAACCGATCAGAAACATTTTGTGCAGAATTAACTGAGGAGGAGCTATAACTTGGTTAGGTTTAACAACATTCCTCGCCTGAGCGACGCCTAGCTTACTGAACAGCCACTCACTGTTGTTTTTAATAAAATGATATACTACCTAGAACCAATAACTAGCCTCGATCGCGCTGCTAATTAAAATCATCTTTCAAACCTTCAGACTGTGTTTCCCTTCTGCCGTCAGAAGCAATTCGCTGACCAGCAGCTCTCCGATCTGAGGATTTTTGTCGATCCTGCGATGTCCTTCCCCGATAAATATATCAAAATCTTTTCTCGATTTTACTTCATCTAAGAACTCGTCAATTTGGTCGGTATGTTTGTTGTCTTCGTCTATACTGCAGAGAGCTTCGGCGGCCGCCAGTGCTACCGCAGCGAGTGAGCTTTATACACAACTTTAGAATATCACTACAATATCATCTACACCTACCTTGAACACGCAGCTTCATTTCTGTTCGCCGAAGAAACTGAAGCTGTATCTTCAAAAGATACTCTCCTTGGTTCGTTAACAACGTCAATCAAGCTGGTGTAGAGTGCGCTAATTAAAATTTGCATGAGGACCGAATTAGCTAAAGGTATGGTCTCGGTAGGTATGACTTCTTGTAAAAGGGTGGCGATCCTGGGCAAACATGGGTTAACGACATCCCAATATTGACTGAGGCAAGCCAGAATAAGAGACATCGCTTGGTACATCGTAGCCCCAGTTTGCAAGGCATTAACGACTGAGTCTCTGACTAGTGGTACCAACGGACATACTAAATCGAGCAATGCGTCAAACCACGGTAAACGGTTCTGGTTCCAAACTTGTCTCCTGTCGAGACATTTTGACCAACAACGTTGTTTGGTGATCGTACTGATTAAGATGTCGTTTAGTTCGGCATCGCTGCCTATATATAATATTATATCAGTTAGGGAGCGTATGAGGTCGTAGTAGTGGACATCGTTAAGAATAGGAGATGATGAGTCAACGTTTTTGCAGCTTCCATCGCCAGGACATAGGAACCCGTTGCAATCGGTCGGTTTATGATTTGCTTTCGGCAATTCAGTGTTCAAGTTGTCGAAGAAAGCTTGTATTAGATGTTGTAAAACTTTGAAGTTTTTGTTGCAAACCACCTCAAACGGAATATGAGTTAATTGCAAATTTAGAGGTCTAATTTTAGTTACCCTCAATAACAGCGCCCAATTTGGTTGTGGCTGAGCAAGAAGGACAGTGAGTTCAAGAGAGATGGAAGTACTGTCGTCTAGATCGTCTAAGGTTTCTATCCGATGTTTCAGGTTCTTGAAAATACCAGGCAGAGCGAATATCGTCCACGGCATAGGACCTTTGCTTCTAGTTTTACATATTTCGATATTCTCAATGCCGTTTCGAACCAGCTAACAAACATATAAAGACAGAGTGTATCTTCGTAAGATTATGATATAAATTTACTTTTTAAACAACCTAGACATTAAGAAATGGAACATCAGAACATCAGAAACGGGGTGAGAAATTGAAGAGACAAAACCATTTATTACACTTAAAAACAGAAAACATAAGCCTTTGTAATCACAATACACTAAACGGGAGAAGAAAATGAATTTAACTACTTAAGTTTAATAAGGTAAAATAAAACAAAAAATAAATTTATCGTACACAGCACATTTGTTCTAATTAAATAATTTAATTCGTATCGAGCAATTAAATATCGAATTCGAAGAATTTTTTTTTTGAAATTTTAAAAAAGTTCTATTTTCTAGGGAAAGTCTTACACAATTACAAGAAACATCTTTTATATTACCATTCTATTTTAGTTATTGCAAGAAGAAGAAGAAGTTTTCGTTGAAGTAACAAAAGTGGATTTTTTGTTTCCAGCGATGTAAAATTAATTTACATTATAATGAAGGAACCACAATTATAACGATAATAGTAACGAAATGTGGCGAAAATCGACGTTTTGGAAAAATCAGTTTTGCTATCTTCAGGTTGGTTTCTTCGCGTAGCTATTTGTCGGTCATTTGGATCGGTCAGCAGTGAATTGCGAATTGCAGTAATTTTATAATTTGGCCCCACTTTTGTACTGCTTATTAAAAAAAATACTCTTTATAAAAAGTTATCCAACCTTAGTTACTGTTGGAGCTTCTACAATGGCAAAGGATTTTAATGTTATGCCATATTTTCATACTTTCCCTCTTTTTGCACTTACAGCTTCTTCTATCTGAACAGATGTCTTCAATAGAAACAATGTAAATTGCAGAACAACAGGTTCCCTAGACTCAGCAATATTAGCTTTCCACTTTTTAAGTTTGAGGGATCTATCACGTACTAAATAATTTAACTTAGTAACATCAGAACAAAATGTTATCAATCGCCATTTGTATTGCCGTTATGTTATAGGCTAACATGGCGGCAATACAAATGGCGATGTGCGCCTGGCAGCGTGTCGAAAAGATTTTGCTTCCGGGAATTAGGAATTTATTGGCAGCAAATAAATTTTAATTTGAGGAAATATGGAAACCTACCATTAATTTAATATTCGCTTTATTCCAAGCAATAATTTTTGAATTCCAGTTGATGTTAAGAATTGTTTAACTCAGAGAATAAATTATATAATATTTTGTTAAAGTCGATTCGTAGAAAATTTCAGCAAAACTGTAGAGGTGCAATAAGAATATAATTTACAAAATTGTGGGTTAATGAATTAAATATTTTAGTTAAGGCAATTAAAGTAAGAATATAATCTATTATGTCTCAACAAAAGTTGATTTACTGTGAACGTAATTTTATTCTTGCAATTAATTTTTACGTAACGTTTGTTATTAAAATAATTTTATTCAGCTCAGAAAATGTTTTCTCAGTGCGCATAACACGAAGTATACATTTCTAAATTACATTTTTTGAGTCTCACGCAAATGAAAGTTGAATTAAAATATTTTCAAATTTCTTGAAATGTTTTTTTAATTTTAGCTTCCAGTAGGGAAATGTTGAAATTCTAAAATTTTAAAATAATGTTACGTCCCAAAGAAGTACCGAAAATTTTTTATGAAAATTGCAATCAGCTTTAAAATAAAATGTTTCTATAAAAATTGACCTTAAAGAAAGTATCACGATCTTATTTTCATGTTAAATTTGTCTACTGCGACATGCGATCCGAATCATCCGCAAATCAAATCACACACACGCGACCTCGAAACGCCTCTCCAAATAAACATATTTCGCTTACCTTGTGAAGAGTATCCAGCGAAGCTCCTCTCACGAGAAAACAATAAAACAAATCTTGACATTTGGTGTGTATATCTCTCAGGATGTTGGTTCTATTATTTAAGGAGAAGCCTATAAATTCTTCAGTAGTGTCGCAGATGGAGGGAAGCAATTGAGCGACACATAATAGTAAATTGCTCACGTCGACTAGAAGTAAATGACTTCTGGCCTCCGACGGTGAACTCTGCGAGAGACACGCGCAAGGTAAGTAATTCTCCACGAGATTTATGGTTATTTTCAGAGATTTACGGTACGTTTTTTTTCGCGCGCTCTATATAACGTGAGAACATATACCTGAGTGTATCTAACCGTCAGTATGGTTAAAGATTCGTTCAGCATTCCGGCGAATACCCTTTGGGCCATTTTCGGTGGAACGGTGTTCCACAAGTCTTCCCTGGTCCCTGCCAAGATCACTGGGTTAGTTAGTCTTTGTTTAGTTAACACAAAATATAAGAAAAACGAAAATTCGAGGTGGGGAAGAACTGAGAGCAAAAAAGTCGTTGCCATATTTAAAGTAGCAACCAACATTCACATGTATCCCTAAAAAACTTTACTGGCCTAATATGAGTAGATAGATCTAGATGCAATATGTTGTGGTGTAATAGATAAGATATCATCTGTTGGTTCGAATTCAGAGTCTTTTGAAATGCTTGGAGAAAAAATATTACCACTATTGAGTTAATAATAATCTAGAGTCTCTTGTATTGTTAGTATTGTCTAAGGAAATTTTTGAATTTTAATCAACATAAGTGTTTTTATATATGCAAGCAGCACCAGAGGACTGAGATATAGGTCAGGCTTGATACAATAATCAACGCAGAGACCACGGAGATCTGCGGGTGTTGGGTTTGAACTTATTTTCAGGCAGCTGGGCAGCACTGAAAGATCAATTGTGGTTACGTGGTTACATACAAGCAAAATTAAACTTATTTTAATTAAATGACTTCCTAAGAGAACTACGTAGGTAAGAGCGAAAAAAAGACAATACGACTGAGGTTCAAAAAACTGATGCCAATACCCTGCATGTATAACCACCACATTTGAACTATGTAGGAGCCCCTCTCCGACTCAAAAAAGGGCTTCTCGCTCTCCCAGTCCAAACAGTCGGCGTCCTGGAGGATGTAAAGTGATAGCAACCTGCAGTGAAGATCCAAAAGCCTCTCGGCCAATGCTTCGCACATTTCTTCGTATTTTTTGTACCCTAATGAAAGTAGTAGTTATCAAAAAAATCGGATTGGTCTCTCTTTCTTACCATTTTGGAGAGGTTCTAGGGACGCGTTTTTAATTTCGTTTATTATCTGAATGTAAAACCACAGACAATTTTTCAAGATGGCTGCCGCGCCGATCGTGCCTTAAAAATACTTGTTAGCTAGTAGCCACGGATTATGAACGTAGTAAACCACTGCTTCAAATTTACACAATAGGAACAAAAAATACCCATTTTTTTCAAAGAAATTGACCTCGAATTTTTTTGACACTGTTTTCGGAGTTCTTAGTTACTGCGCATTTAGTTCAGTGTTAGTTTTTACTTAAATAGCCTTTCAAATAAAAGATTTTCTTGGCTCAGTTAAATCCAAAATGTCTCTGAAGGCTTCATCCATTGTCCTACTAACAATTACGTTAATATCAATATTATTTATTCTTTTCCTATATATGTAAATAATACAAAACTAACACCAACATACAAACGTAACACCAACATTTGAAAAAATACATAGAAACGAGTACTTACCAGTGAGAACTGATAAATCGGCGTGATCCAACGCTTCCTGGGTGAGAACGTGAAGGTGTTCTGGAATTTTTTAAGTCAATGAGGTCTAATCGAACCCGGGGACTTACCCATCAGCTGATCGGAAGATTTGCCAATGAGACTAACAAACTTCGAAGGGTCTGATGACCGCACGATTCCTCCGCAGCCTCCGGAGGCTTGCATGCTGTCTCGGGACGTTTCGTCGTTCTTTTGCATGAATCCTGATGGTCTTCTAAAAGCAGCAATGTACTCGTCTTCCCACCAGGTTACCAGTTTTACCGCTGCGAACGAAGCGGACCGCGGAAAATCCAATCGACCCCCGATGATTCCCGGACAAATCGTTTCTTGCAAAACCGATTGTTTGCTCTGAGAAATAAAACGTTATGCGTATGGAAAAAAGGTGGCAAATCACAGAGCGATGCGTTATTTCATTTGTATTTGAAATTCCTTGGAATTCTTCTCGGAATTTCTCGGAATTATTTGGAATTCATAGTATACACCTTTGCGGTTCACCGCTCGAGTTTCCGTTAGTGGACGCAAATCCACAAAATGAAATATAATCCATATGCATATATGTTTTTAAGTAATACTTACCAGTTTTTCTTTAAACATTGTGAATTGTTAATTGTAGATTATAATAATCATTTAATTTGAAAATCAAACTTAAACATACTTTTCTATTATCTTAAAACTATAGGGTATTGATAGGTATTTGTTTAAGCGAAAGTATATCTATTTTTTATTTTTCAATTATAATTTTTTATATACAAATGAAGGTTGGTTTACAATAAAGACTTGAAAATAAACTAAGTATGTAGGTATGTCGTTATGTTTTTCTTAGGAACAAACTCGTACTCGGTTTTTAAGACCTCCTTGTCTGAATGAATTTCATTTAAGGAACAGTTTAAGCGACAAGGAAGCTTTAAAGAATGACTATAATATTGACCCTCAAGTCTTTTATTAAAAAAAAAATGATAAAAATAAGTATTATTTAAAATAAACATTATTTTTTAAGTAAATGTTGAAACAACCCTCAATTAGCAGTCAAACAATATACTAAGGGATCATAAATTTCATTTCTAACAATGCTTAGTTAATATTGAGAAATGCATTCTAAGGAAATTGAATTTTGTAACTGGTTAAGATTTTCAAATTTAACATTTTTATAGATAACAATTTTCAAGCGACCCCACAGAAAGAAGTCGTTCGGTGGGAGGTCAGGTGACCTGGGGCCCAAATTATTCGGCACTTTAGGCCTTTAAAAGTATTTCCTAGAAACTCCCTAACCGTATGGGAATTATGGGCGGGACAACAATCCATCTGGTAGCAGATGGATCCGTGTAATGCGGGTTCAATTTTATTTTGTAATAAGTCCAAATAGATTTCTGCCGTGAGGTTATGAACTACAAAAAATTTCCGAATAATATGATATCTGGAAATTTCCACCATGACACTTATTTTTTGAGTATGAACAAAACGATATTCATTTTCTTAGCTGCAATACCTGAGTGCTTTTTTTGAAAAATACTTTTCCAAGGATTCTGGTACTAATCATTTTGTTTTCCTCTAAATGTTCAAATTTCTATTCTCTCTTTCTTCTGCTCTACTATTAAGCTGAAGATTTGCCGTTATTTATTCCGGTGACTTTCTACTCGAATTGGGTAATAATATGTTTTATTGATGAAATTGAAGGTATAGTTTTAGCAGGAAAATAAACTGGAAACATTTCGTACACTGCTCTAAGACTGTTTCCATAATACCACTTAATTGTGTTTACTTTATTTCCAATTGAATAAATCATATTCAGCTTTAAGTAAATCGCATTCAATGACGTATAACAATCGCAAATAAAAATATTGCTACTGTGGCGAATTTTAGTGTTGTTATTCTCAAACTATATTTTACTGGTGTTTGAATTATTACCTAAACTATAAAAATTTTCTAATTTTAAAATCACAGAGATCCACTAACTCATTTTTTAGAATCGACATATTGAAATAGCTACGGCCTAAGCGGCATAGATTTACAGCGCTGACATTTAAACAAGTGAATTTAACATGTCGTTAAATATCTCGAACACACCTTGTAATACTCCATATCTCTCTGAATAAGTATGTTGACTTTGTCCATTAAATTGCCATCTTCCATTACCTCCATCGCTAATCGCGTATTAAGCCGCCGTTTTCATTTGCACTATCGATCAAACAACACCGCCATGATTTTAGCAAATCCGCGCGCCGTTTTGGGCAAAAATATTTGTTCAACTTCGATTAAAAAGTTATTTTCGGTAACAACGTTGTGGCGTTTTTCTCGGGCCGAACAAATTTAGTATACTTGCCCGGAAAATATCGACGTTCTCGTAAGCTCCGGGTATTTTTTAATTTTCAAATTTTTAACGGGCAAAAGTAATTTATCACACAATCCGGGGCCGCTGTCCGTTAGAATTGTGAGTCGCGATGGACTTATATTGTCGTTAAAATTGCATTAATCACATTTTAAGATCTACAGTTAATCCGATTTTTCGCAACAAAACTCCGCCGTCCGTATTATTTAAAACAAGATTTATGACCGAATAATGGAATCAAACCGTGTATAGCGGCGGACTGTGCACTTTTTGGGAAAATGTTTCGCATTAAAATTAAATTTACTTTCCAGGATCGGCTCGCCGATAACAAGCGCACTATTTGGGATTTTATTCTTTGGTAGCAATTTTAAAATTCTAAAATTAAAAGACTTTACTATATATCAGTACGAAGTCAAACTTGTATTAGAGAATTTTAATTAAATATATTAAAAACCCCACGAATCCTTTACTGATATACCAAAGTCAAATTAATTATAATTTAATTATATTTAATTGTCATGAATTCCATCAACAACAATTTAGGAGCGTTCACTTAAAACCAGTTTTTATAAATTGATTTGGAGAAAAACATTTTGATATTGGATTAAACATTATTAAATTAAAAATGAATTATATAGAACTTGCCGATAAAATTTTAAATCTCTTCGATGTACATTTTATGTAAAATATGAAGATGTCTGAATTTGAGTGAAGCTCCCCAATTATTGCAAATACGGTAAAGATTTCTTTAGTGAAAGTTATCAGGCAAAATTTATATTTTCCAGCATGCAGATAAAATAAATATGAATAAATATTAATAAATAAATAAATAAACATTAATAAATTAAATTAAAAATTAAAATTATTAAATTAATTGTTGTCACTAGTATTTTAAAAGTTTAAAAGTTAAAGTTGCTTTGCTTTTGGACTTTAATGTCCATTTTCAAGAAAATGTTAAAAATTACAAAGACAAAATGAATAAACGTGACTTCTTGGATTTTACGCTCTTCCATGGCCTTGAAGTTCGAATTGATATCCCAACCAGGCAGCAAAACTATTTGGATAACATTTTTATAAATTTTGATTATCAGAGTATTGTTTGACCACAGTGCAGTTACGTGTGAGATTTATTGCCCAACAAATTCAACTGAGAGGGCGCAGACTGTTCGTCATAGGCCTATAACTCAGGTTGGTTTAAACAATCTATATTTGGGCATTGGTAAACGTGATTGGTCTTTTGTATCCTACACGAATATTGAACAAAAATACAGTACATTTCTGGATATATTCATAAGCGAAATTAACTGTGCTTTGCCCTTCAAGAATAAGTTAAAAATAATAAATTAAATATCGAATGCTATACCGACGAATTACAAAACCTTCTTCAGCATATCAAAAAACAAAATCCTAAATTTCCTGATAACACTTCTAAGGCAGCATGGGAGGTCATCAACATCAATAGGAATCGCAAGAGTGGATCAAATTTTCATTGACTGGGTATCACTCCCGACAATTTTAATGAATATTTTTCAAACGTAGCAAGCTGGCGAACAGGTGTATATTCGAGGGTATTTTTCCCAAGTCCTTGAAGTTGTCCAGAGTGATTCCAGTTTTCAAGAAAGGCGATGTAAATGATATAAATAATTATCGTCCAATATCTATTATCCCCACAAATCGGTAAAATTATTGAAAAGATTCTTCGAGGACAACCGTTTGTTGTCTCAGGCCCAGTTTGGGTTTAGACGTTTTAGATCGACTTGTGGACCGATTAGTAGAGTTCTTGATCAGGTTTACGCAGCTTTTGAAGGCATCCTGTTCTTCTGAGTAAATTTCAGTGGTATAGTGTGGATCCCTCATCGGTTGGATTCCTTCAAAGTTATCTTTTCAACAGGATTCAGATCATGGTCCTGAATGGAAAATCATCACAAATTAGAGTTGTTGAACATGGAGTACCTCAAGGTTCCATTATCTCTTCTATTCAAGTCATTCTGAGAACGACTTGGTGCACAGGATGGAGGGGGTACAGTCCGAGGCAAGTGATCGGTTTCGTGCTAACAAACTTAACCTCAATGCATGAAAAACACAACAAATCGTAGGGTTCTCAAAGTCAATAAATTATTATTATTATTATTATTAATTTGTTGCAGGGTCTATACCGTATCGAACAAATATTAAAAGACATTAAATTACACCAAATTCGGAAACATTGTAGACATTATTATTATATAATATTATTGCCCAGTCATTTTTTAGCGATTTGCGTGACTCTCCTCGGTCTTTTAATGCGAGATTAATTTTCGCTACAAACATAACAACATAAACAAAATTATCTGATGATGACGACGAGAAATAAAGGATATACTGTCCAAATTGAAAAAGCGCGACGCCTCTGGAATAAAAGTATGCTGGGAATAATTAAAAGATCAATAATAATAATAATAACATTGGTAGCAAAAATGGATTTGTCGCTGATGGCTTACCAGAATTTCAATTAAAATGGACTGGAGGCTATTATAAAGACATGAATACTGATCTGATCGGATCTAATTTCTCCTGGGTCTGTTATGCACATAGATAATGCCAGCAACTGCTCAAGAAAATCCAAATCCACGTTTTCCTGGAAAAAAAAAATTACATCGTCCATTGGCACACGTTAAACAAGTACTGGATATTGAAAATTTGAAGAAACCTCGCTTCAAAACATGCCACTTTTATAATCAGGCACATTCAAACCTTCTTCCAAGAGAAATTAAAGACGGATTGTAATAAATGGAGTGCGTCGAACGGGATTGAAATTGAAGAAAGATCGTGGAAGCCGCATGTCAGAAAATACCCTAGAGCCCTTTATTTTTTCTCTGGACTCCACCGACTATAGTTAATCCTACTAAAATTTACAATTTAAATAACGTAAATAGTTGATAATCATAAATAACAATTTATCTATTTTCATATTATCCTTACTTCTATGTAACTTTTATTCAGTTGATCTTAGAATAATGAAAATCTCAATTATCTGAATATTTCGATAATTATAGTCATCTAATGTACTACCTATAGTAACGCCGCTGTTACACTATTTTCATTCACCAAACTAGTCCTCGTCTGCAAATTAGTGTAACCCTAACATGTTTTGAAAAAAACTATCAATTATCTGAACTTTACGATATAACCTTTAGGTAACTTTTTATTAATCTCTTGCATTAAAAAACAGAGCATTAAAAGGCCCACTTTCTCGTCTTTCTCACGGGAATTTAATATTCACAATGTTGAAATAAAATCTGGTAACTTAGTCTTTTCCCGCAGTGGTCGAATCCTAAGATCTTGTTAAAAAACACAACCTTATCTAGTTTTCAACAAAAGCACAACCGCCTTATCGAACGGCGGTCCGTGACATAATCGAAAAGTTCCTATACATCTCGTCAAACACGTGATGTGTGTTCATCGCAGCAACAACATCGGAGAGCTTTATCTGAAGGCTGAACACTTCACTTGACAACATGAGGGTAAATTTTACCGCGCCAGTTAGAGCTTCGAAGCAACTGGTGCAGAACGAGCCCCCCCTTCCCCAACCCCCCCCCAACATGTATGGGGCGGAGGGTCGGCGGGTCGGATCTCTCCCCCGTGGTTATTTTTAAATATCTCATTGATCTTCAGACCTAATAGATACGATTAAAAAGGACAAGCGACGAGTGAATCCCTGTGACTACCCGCTTGTGTGTTAATTTACTTAGTGCAAAAGGGTTATTTCCGTCTGTCGATTAGGGATGCTCCAAATATATTTCGATATCCGCAGTTGGTTCGTGTAGTAGTCGCATTGTTTACGACGGTTTTCGTGTAAACGTTAACGGAAAAGGGTCATCTTTGAAAGGCTTTTGGAGTTGGAAAGCGAATTTTTACTAATAAGTCTTTATCCGTCTTAAGCAGAAATATAAAATGCTATATTATGCGTGGAAAACTGCATTGGAGTTAGGAGTTTATTTGGCACGAGCGGAGCGAGTGACGTATAAAGTTTACCAAACGTGTTGTAATAAAAAAAAAACAAAGTCTACCGAACATTTCAACAAAAATTCTTGAAAATGAGTAAAAGAGGCAACTCTTTCTTAAAACGTGAACCTAGGCAAAGAAATGGTTAAATATCTTTTTCTACTCCCTTCTCTAAAATGTCCAATTATACACCTAGAGTGAGCAAAGTGTCATTTTACCACCCTAGTTTCATATTCCACTGATGCAAATCACTTACGACATTCCCTGTGTTTGGGAGCAATCTGATGTTTTTTGGAGATATTAGCGCATATCATATTAGAACAACCTTTAAGTAAAAGTTTTCTATGCTGGTATATATAAGTAGAAGATGTCTTTGCTTGCTTACTCATTACATAATCGTACAAAATTCACTATTGAGAATAAACAGGATAACTCTATTAATTTTTTAGACCTAACTATTGCGAAAACGCAAAACAAATTAGATTTTTCCATTTACTTTCAAACATGGACACAGTCATACCTTACTCACAAAAAATGGCTGCATTTCACTCTTTCATACACATACTTCTTAATACTCCACTCTCAACAGAAAATGACAACAAAGAACTTAATATCATTAAACAAATTGCTTTGAATAACGGCTACAATCCGCCCATTATCGATAAAATTGTAAATAAAAAACAAATCCAGGCAACAGTAAACTCTATTTATCCGGAACCTAATACAGAACACGAACAATTTAGAACAATTACATACATAGGAGAACCCAGTGAAAAAGTTTAAAAACATTTCTCAAATGTGGTTTAAGAATAGCTTTCAGAACTAACAACACAATAGCAAAATTTTTAAAAAACAATAAAACGAAATGTCCAAAATCTCAACAATCGGGTGTCTACAGGTTGAAATGCGTATCTTACATCTAAAATTTACATTGGACAAACAGGTAGATCTTTCAAGAAACGCATTAACGAAAATAAAAGAGCGTTGAAAAAAAAAAAGTCGAGATTCTAATGATTCTACACACTTAAACACAGAAAAACAAATTTTTGAAAATTTTGATATTTTACATACAGCTACAAAAAGTAGAAAATTAAATTTATTGGAAGCCATGGAGATTAAAAAAATGAGACATTCAAATGTATTGCTTAACGATCAATTTGATTTAAATGCCTCTCCTTTATTGAACTTAAATTCTCGCAACAATATTAATCAAGGTTTTATTGTCATTTTTCGGTATATATAGTAGCAGGTAGTTTGTAAATATTACATTTGATAAAAACACGGATTTGTCGAAACAATTGTCATTTGAAAATATATAACTTCGTGAAAATCTGAACTTTTAGTTCCTATTTATTTTGTTAAATGGATTTAATCAAGTAAACCTCACCTCACCTTCACCTCAGTTCAACGTTTGGTAAACTTTTAACTGGATCGTTTATTAAGCACTCGCTCCGCTCATGCCAAATATACTCTTGACTCAAGTGCGTTGCATAATATACTATTTTCTACTCCTTTCTCTAAAACACCCAATTATACAAAGATTTAGCGTCCAGAGAGTGTAATTTTAAAACCTCAGTTTCGCTTCCTACGGCTGCAAGTCACTTCGGATATTTTCGGGGTATTACCGCACGAGTTTGGGAGCAATCGGATGTTTTCGGAGATATTTCCCACTGCTTCAATTTTAACTTTGGTTAATTCCGACAGTCATGTCAGTGAATGTATCCATGTTGTTTTGCAAAAATGTACCTAATAACTGATGGTCGTAGAAAAAGTATGTTTGGGACACTTGAAGATGGTAGACAATGATTGAGTTGAAATAGTAAGAGATTGTAGAACTTTGATAACGGATAGTTGATACATCTGCCCGAAATGTTGTGTTCACAAAAAATTAAGGCTATGAAAGTTCGACAATCTCTAAATTTTTCTATATTTGGTGAACTTTTAAGTCGCTCGATTAATAAGCACTCGCTCCGCTCGTATCAAATGAACTTGTGACTCAAATGCCGTTTACCACACTTATTGCATATACCATTTCCTTTGTATGTTATTTAGTATTTTATAACATATATACAGATATATTATATAAGTAATTTTAGTTGTTAATGTAAAATAACGTTCACAAAAAAATGAAGTTCAATGGATGTTTAAGAAAAAAAGTAAAGCAAAATAGGAGCTTTGTTATATTAAAAGTATTTAGACACAAATTTTCATTTAAAAGAAAAAAATTTTTCTTTTAAATAAGTAAATAGTTGATAGTACATGTAATACAAACAAAAAAGTATTGTATTAAGATAAAAATTTTAAATTAAAAATTAGAATAATCATTTTTGTTGTAAACGTCAATTATCTTCTCAGCAAAAAAATAAGGGACAAATCTCGATTTCGTAGAAAACACCCAAAAAGCATTTTCTCTGATTCAAACCTCCCAAATTTAAGTGTAAAAGGATTTATAGTACCCACACACAAGTACGAAGTAACGTGATTTATCATTTTATACGTATATTGACTCTTATTTCTAATAATATGTTTTTAAAAATATAAACAAATTTAAGTGACAACAAGCACAAAAAGTTAAAAAATATGCCACTCTGGAAACAGTAAGATTTCCATCCTTAAGACACTCGGAAATGTGCTGTTTTTCCAGGTAATATTTTGTTAGATTTTTTTACAAATTTTCCATTGCACATTAATTGTAATTGTAAACGAACGGTACGGTTTTCCGAAATCTTTGCGGCGTATAAAGCAATTTGGGGAATACAGGCACGTAAAATTAACGTTCGTTTAATTTTCACGAAAATTAAATCAACGCGCCGAAAAAAAGGCAAACTCCATCTTCCCGAGATATAGTGTCGCAGGTATATATACATATACAAAACAGGATTGATATTCGATGTTCATTTTAGGTTATACATGACAGATTCTCTATTCAAACAGAACTAATTCAGGGAAATTGAATTTCGAACTCTCACAGCGCTACACACGTATCTGCTCGTCAAACATAACCCATCATTTTCTCTTTTGTTGACGCGCTATTGGCCCGTCGGCTTCTGTATGACTTTAAACGCGATATAAATCGAAGAAATATTTTCAGATTCGCGCAAACAATAATTTAATATAAATTTTAGAGAATTACGAAGAAGCATTTTTTTTTCTTAAATATAATTTAATACCGTTTTTAATATTTTTGTGCTATCGTTATGTTACGTGCGCTATTGATTATAGAAAAAACTTGTCTCAAAAGTTAGTAATTAAATAGTCATAATGAAAACAATGTAGAATCATTTATTAAAACAAAATGAAGAAAACCTCTATCTAAAAAAATCCTCTAAAAATATCAATGTTATAGCTACATTAAAAAAATCATCTTCAGTGCATCACTTGTGCTTCTACATTTTTAAAATTTAGGAAATGTATATTTGACATTATTTGCCATTCTTTCAATTAGCACTTACTTGTTTAACACTTCCGCTTTATGATTGAATTTTAATCAATTTTGATGATTGCGAAACAGTTGCGTCTAACCTTAGTTCCAGTCCATAGCGTTCTTTCTCTCTTTCTGGTAGCGGTCATTCTCGTTTTCGTTTTTCATGGAGACTCCATTCCATTACTAGTTTCGGAATACTTTCTGGTGACATTCATTGGATATGCCCATAGAGCTATAAGATAATATGGTCGCCCTACTAGGCTAAAAATTGATGTGCTATGTGGCTATGATATTTTCGTAAAGAAGGTATGGATCTTTTGCGCATGCGTCACCCCAAGCTATCTGAGTTGCCGTAATTTTTCTGGAAAATTGATTAATTTTTATAAGCCCTCAAAATCAATCTCTGAAGTCCGAACATAATTGACAACGCCGATATAAGTAATTACCGTTGTCACAGAATAGTCAGTGCCCTGTGCCATTGTTGTTGTCAATATGTCCGAACAGTACTCAGAAACATGTATAATAACAGTGATATTTGACCTCTAACAAACTGGAAAAAAGACTTACATAAATATTTTCATGTGAATTTACTAAACAGAATTTCCTACATTTTTACGTACATTTAAGCTACGAAGAATGTTTGGGTAATATGTTTTAGTGTACAAGAATTACAGTAAAATATAAAAAAACAAGTTGAATTTTTACTAGAACAAGCATTGGAAATACCCACTTATGTACCCACCTTATTCCAATAGAGGCTAAATGCTTACGCCAATTTATTATTCATTTTGTTAGTTTCTTTTTCACATCTTCCCATGCTAAGCAGAGGTCATTTGTTGCAGATCTCTGATCACCGGGGAAGGTTCATGTTAAATGAACTTTTCTAATGTCTTTAACTTTGCTTGATTTAATCTTTCCTCAGCGCATCAACACGCATTGTTAGGTTGTTGTTACCTTTGATAACCATTTGGTAACGTTGTTATCATGTCCAGTTCGCTTCTATACGTCCTCTGGAATACTGCCATAACCAATATAAAACATTGTCGCGAATTTGATCCAAGTGCGGAATTGATAACTAATCCGCGGGGTTTCCAAATGACGTTAAACCGCGCCAAAATGTTACAAAGTAATGAACCGTTATAATACCTCTGAATTTTAGTTGCCTACTAGTAATAAAACAGCGCTAATTTCCTTGTTTAGCGCTGGTGGCCCGCCGTCAGACATAATAATTAATTTTAATAACGGCATTAACGTATCAAAACGAAAGGTTGCAATTATTTTGCGGGCCTGGATTTTCGAAGGGATTATTGCGTTTCAAGTGTATGCCGGTAACCAATTTTGCTGCTGTTCAAATGAAATCGTAATGCTTTGGCATTAAAACGTCCATTTTACTGATTATCGGTACACGGCGAACTACGGACGGTAGTCCGATCGACTGGTATTCCAAATTTGACTAAAAAACTACTTGGTTGACTTGGGAGGTGTGACGTAATCGGTGCTTACGCGTACCAACACGGACCAATTGTGTGGCCAATATAGCTTATAGAAAGGACAATGCAATCAATTGTAGACCAAGACAGGTTGGTGTTTTATTTAAAATAAACTAACAATTAACACCAGCAAAATGAGCAGAACAAAATCAACTCACATTGATTTCCAATTATATATGTAGCAATTTTAGGAGTTTCCTTTAAATCAACATCTATGTACAAAATTAACTAGGGTATTTTATGCAATCAGGTAGGTAGATGAGAACAAAAAGCCTTAAGGATTGTCTATTGGGATTGTACATCTAATAAAAAAATTTATAATTAAATTCTGAAGAGGACCATAACATCAATGAAAAAATGAATTTGCATAATTTTTGTATACAGAGGAAGATTCGAGCAATTGTACGTAATTACTGTGTGTGTAATCTATATTTACGAATATCTAATATTTACAATCAATACAATAACATTATAATACTCGCACCCCGTCACCTGAAAAATTGTGTTAACCATCTACCCAATTCTGTGAAGTGCATCAATACAGAGATACGAAATTTAAAGCTATCATATCATTAACTAAAATAAAAAGACGAATAACTACTAGTATGAATTAAAGAACAGAAAACGCTCAGTTGATAAACACAATTTTAGTTAGGGAGTGTTTAATGAAAGAATGAATTAAGAATTTTATCAAGGTGTTTTCGTCTCTAAAGTTTTCATGTCGGTTTGAATTGAGTGGTTTTCGATTTTTGTGAGTCGTGTGCACGTTTTTGAGGTATGAGTGGTGCTGCTCCTGCTGTTTTGATCATCTACGCCGCTTGGAGGTCGGATAGACCCAGATGGCCTTTGGTGGAAGCGGAGGGAAGCCGTTTTTTTTTTATTGGTTAAAGTTCATTGTTGGAACAGATAATAATTATTACTGCATTTAAATCAGCGTATATGTAATATGTACATTTTCTTGACGGATGTCGGTAATAGGCAAATGTCCTGACTAGACGTGCCCACAAGAAAAGCAAAGCGATATATGATATGTGACGTGAACGTCACAGTTTTGCAAAACGTCAAAGTACCAGTACGTCCCTGGCTGGCGGAATTTGTAGCATTGCCAGAAAATCCAATGTTAGTTTTCCCTTTATTTTCTCGATTATATTCTTGTGCTGATTTCCATCCGATTTGCAGGTGCCGTGCAGTGGACTTTTCCATTTGCATGTCCGGTAGTTTTGATTAGCCGTTGTTCTGAGAGTTCGCCAGTTTTTTTCCTGTTAATTTAAACTCGGCACTGGTTCACGGCTAGTGGCTCGATGCTCGCTCGTTTGTTTATTTGCTCCAATTTTTGTAGTCGGTTCAATGAGATTGTCAATTTGGTTGAACTTTCCCGTCGAAATTATTTTCGAATCGCGAGATATTTGCGCGGAATTTCCATTGATTCGAGTGAAGGTTATTTCGAGTGCTTGCTTCGCAACCGGAATGCTGCGAAAATTAGCGAATTATGAGTTATGTCCGGTGTTCAATAAATATTCTTTTGGAAATAAAGGAAGAATGCGTACGATGCCGTTGTCCTGGAGAAGTATACTAGTTTTCAGTGAAAATTATCCCGTGCAGTTGATACTCCAGATGGGAGGTGAAATTAATAGGGTTGGAGTTGGGAAAGAAATGAGATGCCATCAGAAAAACAAGGCAGAGGTGGTTGGGCGCTCAGTAGGCAAATCACAGTTAAAAAATAGAATTTCTGAGAGAAGACGTTCGCCAGAGGTTGATTAGTTCTGGTTAGTTAGTCGTTGGTTAGCTAGTCGTTAGTTAGTTAGTTGTCGTCAGTCTTACTTTTGATAGTTATACAGAGTATCGTCTGTCTCAATATTCATTTTGTTGGCTTTCGACGGACCCTCCCCGATAAAACTTTAATGATGTTATTACTATTGTTATTGGGTAAAGCCATTATCAAAGAAATTAGTCTTGCTCGAGTGACAAGGCAGGGGTGAGTCAGGTATATTTCTTTCTTTCTGTTATATTTCTAGATTGTTAAATAATTGTTTTTAACCTTGGCTTCGCAAAAGTTATTTTACGAGAATATGTAAGTCGTATCGAAATCATTTGTCCCTTGATGCAAAACAGGTTGTGAAAAATATGTATGAAACTTCAATGAGTAGAGAACTTAATACACTATCGTCAATAAGGGATGTTATATATAGTGGAGAATTGAAGAAAAAGAATAAACGTAGTGATTTTCAAACTTACCTTGTGAACAATATTCATCGGGACCTAATAAGAAGGAATATGCCTTTATCAATCGAAGTTAGTTGTTCCTACCTTGGGTAAACTGAAAAAGAAGCTATAAGAAGATGAAACCAAGATAAATCTGATAAATATAAGGCGTACCGCCCTCGATAAAGTTGTTTGTAAAATGGGATTTAAATAACTCACAATAGACAAAAGGCAAGTAGTAATGGGATCACACAGATTACGCACTTCAAGATTGAATTCCTCTTATTCCACTTCGTCTCCTTACGAAGGTTAGCGATCCATCTAAGTAAACAAACTTTGGAAACTGCTGTTCTGAAAATATCATTTGACGAACATCCAAACCATCTTCGCATGTCTTTCATCCAAGAATTCTGTCTTCTTCCAATAGATCTTCTACCTTTTATTTTACCCTCAATAATTAAACGTAGGATTTCGTATTTTGGGCCTCTCATGATATGTATGTTTCTCACTTTCTGTGCCCAGGGAATTCGAAGAAGACGGAGCAAGGATAAAGGGCCCAACACTTACATCCATATAAAAGCACAGAAAACACATAGTCTCGCACCATTCTCATTCTGAGTTAAGATTTAGTCTATTTATTATTATTATTAAAAGGTGTAAAATTTAATTTATTACAAAAAATATCTTTTGGGTGTGCTCCACACTCCATTCTGAGCAGTCCAAGTAGCTGCCTGCGTGCCTCATTCCCGGGGTAACCTTCCATCCCACCACGGCTCGTTCTCTCACCCAAGTTTAAGAGCTTCCCGCCTCACGCACGGGGCAATCCCCAAGCGGGGCTCTGGTCCCATATGATTGTGCGAGGAGCCTTCCCTGGCTCCCATTCCGCTGACAAAAGTGACAGTCCTCACCTCGGCCACTTATCTCACTACCCCTTTGCACTCCTTTATCAAAAAGCAATGTATGCATACTGATTTTAGCGCCATAAGTGTAGCCCTACTGCCAGAGCAGAAGAATACTCACCTGCTACCGTGGTGGACCCGAAGCGCCTCTCTGGCCGCCATCAATATAGCGAACATTTCCGCCTGAAACACGACCCAGAGCGACCGACAAGCTCGATCCCGTTGTCTCGCAGTACGCTCCAGCTCGCGCCAAATCTCCCATTCTGGACCCGTCCGTGTATCAGACGAGTCCATCCCAGGAGCCCTCTCTCCACTCCTCCCTCGATGGGAAGAGAAAGGTCCATTTATCAAAGAAGGTCGTCTCAGGGATCATGACGTCACTCGACATGCCCATGAAACCGCGATCCCCGAACCAGCCCTCTAACATGTCGTACGGGCCCCGCTTGAAGGTTCCCTCTCTCCCGAGCCCGCAGCTCGATAGTCTTACAGCCGTTCCGGCCGCCTCCATCTGCTAGAGTGGGCAGACTTACCTCTAGAGCCCTCGTGGGTGCTGTTCTCATGGCGCCCGTTATGCAGAAGCATACCAATCCCTGCAGTTTATCAAGAACTAGTCTTGCTCCTGCTCTTTCGTCCCCGGTCACCATGCCACGGCTCCATGCATTAGCATAGGTACCACCATGGTACCGTAGATCCAATGCATGATGTTTGGCTCCAGGCCCCAAGTGCCCCACCGCTCTCCGGTACGCCCACAGAGCTCCAAAAGCCGATCTGATCCTAGAACTTATGTGTTCCTGGAAGGTCAGCTTGGAGTCTAACCTTACCGCCAAGTACTTGACGCTTCCGTTTACAGAAAGGTGCACCCCATCCATCGAAATGTTGAGGTTACGCTCCACCTTTCGTTTCCTGGTGAAGATGACCATCTCCACCTTGCCAGGAATGACAGTTAACTTGCTGTGCCGGCACCATTGTGAGAATCTTGCCAATGCCCCGTTCAGGAGCCCCTGCATCCTTCCCACGTCCGTCCCTTGTGTCATTATCACAAGGTCGTCTGCATATACTTGGCCATAAACTTATTTTTTTTCTCTAAAATAAATAATAAATGAACTAGATTACTCTGCCAAACTGGACACCCTCTAGATATTATTCTCTTATATCATGGTTTTAAATAAAAGACTTTGACCATACTTTAAATTAATTATTGTATAAACTTCATATCTGGAATTTATCAAGTCATTTTGTTAGTTAATAAACATCCTTTTTTGACGTCAATTTGACATGTTTTTCGGAACACTGACGAGTAGCCTTAGCCTATGACTTGAAAATGACGTGATTTTGACAAAACTGAGTACACCGCTGGATCCTACGCAACTATGCTATCTGGGACAGTGTTCACCTTTTTGATAAGTCATTACTACAAAGAGCGCCTAAAAATGAAAAATTTTGAAAATAGTTTCTCTAGCTTTTTTAATAAGGGTCACAACATCTAGAACGTGTTAATAAAAATAGAATTGAATTGTTTGAAATATTAGGAACTTTTTAAAATTGAGAAAGCTTATTTCTTTACCCTACAACACTATTAATTGCACTAAAAGTATGAATGTAACTTCAGAATGGAGACTGCGAAATGTTGTGTGGCAATTTTTCCCGGCTTTCCCCTCTCTGTATCTGCGTATATGTGTCCGATGTAATTAACTTTATATAATAGTCGCATGACACAATAATAAAGTGATAATGATTTTGCCGTCCGAGCGGCCTGTCACCGGCAGATAGTATTGACGGACGTTTCAAAGGTTACGTATTAAATTTACCTGTCTGGCTCTGGCTCGGGGCAGCTTTGACCGACTGCCGACCGACCGACGTCATCGATACCACATCAGTAACGGCTTTGTTATTTTCCCTGGGTAGGAGCGGGTGTAGTACGATGGCTAACCACCATATTATTGTCTCCGGTATTGAATAGAAAGCATTAAGAGAAGGGTTATTTAGGCTTCTTGCTTTTTCAAGTTCCGCGTCCTCCCTTGATGATCCCTCATGATCTTCACTTTGTCCGCAGCAGATCTAAACAATGTGGTGGTGCTTACTCCATACCACTGATGAAGATTTTTGATTCATGGCGTTCTTCTTCGGCCAGGATCATGTTTTCCCTGTATTTTTCTTTACATGAATATATGTAGCAATTCAAATTTTTATTTCTCATTACGTGAGCAAAATACTCCAGCTTTCTTCTTTTAATGGTATTAAGTACCTCTATTTCTTTGTTCATATGTTGCAGCGCCGTTTGATTCGTCACTGTGTCCATATCTTCAACATTCTCTGGTAAACCCACATAATCTTCTTACACATTGTTTCAGTGAGGGGCCACGCCAACGTAATAGGGGAATTCTTAAGACTCTGCCAGTTAACATAGTTTAAGTGTTCTTAAAAGATGTTCTTGCTTGCTCTATTCTGTTTTTGATTTTTTGGGTTGAGTCCCAGTTTTCATTCACCCAGCACCCCAAATACTTGTATGTTTGTACTTTCTCCACTATTTCTCCAATTTCGCTGATATCTGTTAGGTTATTAGTTATGTTTTTGTTTTTGCTGATGCCTATGCATTTGGTTTTCTTTATAGTTAAGCGTATACCTATTTGTTGGCTATGGTCTGTTTCCGCTGATAAAAGTAGCTGTAAATCATACTTATCTTTGGCTAGTAAGACCGTGTCGTCAGCGTATCTTAAATTGTTGATAACGATTCCATTAGCAATTGCACCCTCTATTCTTTCTTCTACGGTTTCACTGAAGATTTTTTTTGCATATAAATTAAACAAAAGGGGGAAGAGCACACATCCTTGTCGAACTCCTCTTATAATAGGCACTTCTTCAGATATCTGGCCACTAACTCTTATGTCAGCTGCCTATATTCAGTGCAGTTATTAATTTATCATGCTGAACAGTGTCAAATGCATTTTTGTAATCTACGAAGCAGGTATATACATCAACTTCCACACCTAGACAATCGCTGTATGAGAACCTGGATGCTAAACAGCATCGAACCCACTTTTAAAACCAAATTGAGACACACCAATGTTTTCTTTGCATTTTATGTATATTCTGGAGTGAACGATTTTCAAGAACAACTTCAATACAGTTAGCTTTCTTTGGCATAGCAACGACCTGTGCCAATCAATAGGAATTATTCCGGTTTTGTATATATAAAGTTTAGCAAACTTAACAGAAGTGTGAAAGTGCTATCTTCCTTCAACTATTTTTTACACTTGATATAGCGTGTATGAGTTCTGCCTTGTAGATATATTTTTTTAATTCCTGTAATTGTTCTTCTGTGGTACTAGGAATTTGCTGTTTATCATTCATGACACTGTTTTTGTTGCTCTTTTTATGTTGAGTAGTTGTCTGTCTGATTTTCTTGTACATATTAATAGAGTCATGCTTGGCTTCTAACTGCTCTATTTCGTTGCACTGTTCTGTTAACCAATTTTCTTTCATTTGTCGAATCTTTTGCTGTGATCTACGGCGGTCCAATAATTTCAGGATATCATCGGTGATCCAAACTTTGTGTTTAGTTTTGGTAGTTTTCAGTTTATCTTGACTAACCTCGACTACTGATGTTTTAATCTGTCTCCATGTGCTTTCAATGTCGTCTTCATTTAACATTAAATTTCTGTTCTTGTTGCTTAAACTAAAAGCTTTTTTGTACCTATAGTTTGTATGGCCGGAGATTTTCTGATCATCTTTAATTTCAGTTTCAATGTAGCAACCAGCAATGAGCGATCTATGAACATTTGCGCCTTATATATTATATTTTTGTATGGTATTCCTAAATATTTTGTTACTATTGCTTCTCCTCGACCTTTGCCTACTTTTGCATTAAGATCACCCATAATTTTATTAACTTTCGAGGATTTAGTTAATTTCAGTGCTCTCTTGACGTCGTCATAAAGAACTTTTACTTCATAATCAGAACCATCACAGAAAGAAAATTTTGAAAGAACCGGAAAAACTAGTTCGATGAAGTAGTTGTAAGCCTAAGTATGATGAAGCATATAATTTTGTAACTGTGAACTCTACAGGATCGAATTTTTGGAAGCAAGGTTAGTGCTGGGAGCCCGAACACAAGTCAGCTTTATGAGAAAGAAATCTTAGGACAAACCGTTAGGCAGGTCAGCTAGCCATCCGAGATTGTTAACGAGACAAAAGTCGAGAGGCTGCTAGTGGATTGAACGCGGCGTCCCTAAAGAGCCAAATTTCTGCTGCATCAAAGTTAATTGAGATTGGATTTTATCATACTAATTGTAATTGCCAATCCTGTTTGACAACTTTATGTCCAAAAAAAATTTCAATGGTTAGATAATGCAGTTTCTCACAGTGTTTTTCAGCAAAATTAGTCAGTTTAAACATTGCAGCTACATTACTGGCAAAAATAATCTATATATCTTAAGTCCAAAAACGCTCTTTAATGGTTAAAAAATCTCTAGGAATAAGAAAATTGTTACGATAATATGCTGTAGCTCAAAAATGAAGAATTTAAGACATTTGTTGATATAAACGTTTCTGCTTAATCTAATTAACAATTAAATTAACAAACATTTCGCAATGTCTTCTCGGAGCCACAGCTAAACGAGAACAACACTTGGCTGCGTACTATTACAACGAAAAAATTCAATAAATCCCCTAGAGTAAAACAGGGGGAGGTGTTCGACCGTTCGGTGCGATGCATAACCACATATAACCTGACCGGTTTGCGTTAATAATGTAAAACTTCATTTCGACTCTTAATTAAAGTTGGTAACTCTGTTTGCATTCATATTGCGGAAGCGGCGTATCCCGCAAGGCCAGATATCCGTTTTTCCATTTGCGATATCAGCTTCGGCGGTGATTGAAGGTCAATTCGGACGATAACGTTGCTGCATGAATAGGTTCAGGTAGCACCACGAAAATGAACAAAAAAATCCTTATTCTTGGGAGAATGCGTAGTAACGTTATAAGTAGTATAGCCAAGGGGGTTCTGGGTCCAATGGTGGACCGTGCCACCCGCGCCAATAACCTAATCGGAAGAATTTAAACGGCGACGAAAAGAAGCTTGTAGTAACTGCTGTTTAAAAGAAAACATTTTCTTCTTCTTCAGGTGCCTATTCGTTTCGAAAGTAGCGATCATTCTGGCTACGATGACCTTATTCACGGCGGCTCTGAAAATTTCAGTGGTTGTTTTGGAAAATCATGTTCTTAAATTCTTCAACCATGATATTCTTCGCCTTCCAGGTCCT